CATTTGAAAAATCTAAGTTGCTGCTACTTTCTAGTAGAAGCGCAAGGCCGGATCGTCTCAAATATTTCAGTAGTGTAGATTATGTTAATTTATACATACCATCGAAATCTTTTGTTGTTGCCTCAATCAATTCCACAGGGTAGATTGAGCAAGTGTACCAATTTTCAAAAATATATACAGGTTGGTTGGAAAGTTATGAGACAATGAAGATATGGACAAAATTGATGAAACATCCTGTACCTATCTCGGTTATAAGAAGTCGAAGACCCATTAACCATGGGTTTTTTCAAATCACCCCAGTGACTCCTATCCACAGTTGAATTATTTACCTTTCCCAATGAAACACCCTGTATACTTATAGGTATACTGAAATATGAATTCGAGCTCTACATCAGAACATCTTCCATGAATTATTTCACACTATATCATCTTTGCAGTAGCAGGTCTCTAACTGTGTTATTGAATTTTCTTTCAGGAATATTTTTTTTATTGAAATTGGCAGTTTATTGTAGAGAATAGTTGCATTGAATAATGGAGAATATTTGTATTTGTAATTATCAGTAAGCCCTCATGTCTTCTATTGTAATTGTGAGCACTTGAATTTTTTTTAGCTCTTGTGAATTTCTTCAAGCAAGATTGTAGATTGTAGATTGTAGATGGGTCGCATAGGCTGAGAGACCTCTCGATCACTGCGATCTAGAAAATCTATTGTGATTACCCCTATCTAGTTTTGGTCCTCTAACCCTAGACTTCTTATGAAGCCTACAATTTTCCTGAAGGTTGACTTTTCCACTTCAGCAGGAGTGTGATAGACCTGTTCTAGGTGGTTCAGCCTTTGGCGGACTAATACTTCACATGAGCAAAGTATGTGTTCCGCGGTTTCGATCGCATTGTTACAAAAGCGGCAAGTGTCAGTCTCCGCCAGACCCATCTTTTTGAGGTGGTACCTCAGAGGGCCGTGTACTGTGAGAAAGCCTGTGATAAGCTTTAGCTCTGGTTTGCTGAGGCTGAGTAGCTGTTTGGCTCGGTTCTGCGAATGGTTGATGAACCTTTTCGCTTTCGTTGACCTGGAGTTGCTATCCAGTAGGAGAACTTCTCAATTTCTTCCCATTTCCCAAGTTCTCCCTTTAGGTGACATTTGCTTATCTCACAAAAGGGCTCAGGACCAAAAAGTGTAGATACTGCACCTTTTTTTGCAAGGCGATCAGCTGCCTCATTTCCTTTGATTCCTTCATGCCCTGGAACCCACATAAGTGTGACTTTGTTGCCCTTTCCCAGTTGCATGAGTGTTTCAAAGCAGTTTCATGTAATCTTTGATGTGAAAACGAATGATTTTAGGGCTTTTAGTGCGACTTGGCTGTCTGAGCAGATATATATGTTGGCACCCCTCAGACCTTTGCTCAGGCACCTTTGGGCGCAAAGGTTGATGGCATGTATTTCCGCTTGGAAGATAGTGGGGGAGTGACCTAAGGCTTCGAATAGCCTACATCCGGGTCCATATACACCCGCGCCTACCCCTTCTTCCATTTTCGAACCATCGGTGTACTAAACAAGGGAACCTCTGTCCATTCTTCAAGCAAAATTTATATATTCCAGAATTCACACTGAGAGAGAGAGCTCTTAACCGTCTTTCTCGTATAAATACCGGAGATACACAAGTCTGGATTTCTACGGCAATATATTAATCTAAGCATTGTCTGCATTTTTTAAGGCATAAATTGGATAAATTCGTATTCATTCCCATTATTTCTATAAGACTTCACGAAGAAAGCAGCAATGACATTCACTAAATTAAATGATACAAGCAATATTCAACGAACGTCAAAATATCAATGAATGCCATGCCTACCATGAGAAGCAAAATGGAAAGAAAATGCTAGGAGCAATAAACCGCTTGTGGAAATGAATCTTTCATTATGTACCAGTTTATTGCTGTTATTGGGATTCCTGATTTGACAAGCACCTCAACTATGGAGCATAAATTATCACCTATACCATCATAGGTCGTTGACGTCAGACCAAGTCATTTCCATGAGTTTCTATCCTTGCGAGAGAAAATTAAATTCATATGCATATTGAGGATGGAGGGCGAAGAATAGATTCGCCTTTTTGATGCTCGTCACGTAAAAGTGGTGTCTCGTACGAGGAAAATTGTATATGATATGTTTTGTTTGTCAATCGATTTATATTTCACCTCGTAGTGCGCGAAAAACTAGATTATTTTTTGGCCCGTATGCTCGCATCAGGGATATCAACTGAGCGAGGTGAGCAATATTGAAGAGTCAATTTTTCGAATCGTTTTATTTTGATGTAGTTATGCCAAGCGTTCGAGTTCGAATAGAATGATATCAAACTGACTGATCACAAAAAAATGAACGTCGCGATCCAAAATATGGGCCAATTTCCAAATTGAATTATTCATGGATTCCATAGCAGATTTCTATTCGGTTTTTACAGTTCTCTAGCCCAATCTTTCAGTTACTCGTCAGACAAACGTTCTTGTTTGAGCAATATTGTTTCTGGTACGAGAATGAAGTTTGACATTTCATCTCTGTTGACAGATTATAAAATGTCACTTTTCAATTGATAACTTCTTTCCCACGGGAAAAAAGTGAGTACTTTTTTCCCGGTTATGTATACCGGCTGTAACAGGACCATGGTACACCCCATTTTTCTCCTTCAGTTTCAGAGATAAGTGATTGAAATTCGGAATGATACATCAACTTGATATACGTAACTTATTGACATAAATAGGTTTCCTATTCCATTTCCGGTTTCACCGGAAGTGGTAGTAACTTTCGATTCTCAAATGAAACACCTTGTATATCATTGCATTTTTGAATTCTGCATTATTTACTGAATCCAATGATACCATTGAAGTGACATTTCAAAGTTCAATATTGGTTTAATTTCATTTTTGATTTTCCATTTCAGTGTGCCATATGGCTATTCTGATGTACTCATATTGTCAGGTGTGATGCTAAAAAAATTTGAATCGTGACAAAAATGTGAAATTCCTTGATTTATCACCAATTAAAGTTCATCAAAATTGTTTCGTGTACAATGATCCTGTTACACCCGGTATACACTGTTGATCGCTCTTGTAGTGCTATAGTTCCGAATAAGCCAATAACAACGTCTACGAGAAAGAACTGCAAGTCCTTTTATCTTCCATTCTACTTCGCGTTTACTCAAATTACTAAACAACCACAAAGTTCGCATTTTTTAGAAAATCAAATCACAGAATCGGACTGACAGAAATTTGATTATATCAGAAGAATGATAAAGATGCCTGCAATTTTTTAAAAAATCGGTAGGAGTAGAAGTCAGCGAATTCACTTTAGAAACGTAGAATGTACTGAAATGAACAGATTTTACATAGGCAGTGTGGTCATGTAGAGAAAGGAAATGTTGAGACAGATATTATTTGGTTAAATCATTTTGTAATTTACCACCCTCGGCGGTTCATTCTCTATTAATTTCGTCTTCTACTCAACTGGTGAACATATTTTTTAGATATTTCAATATCACTATAAACAATCAACTATGAAAACAATATACACATTTGCATTACAGAGGATACCGTAACTTCTATAAAAAACTAACCTGCGATTGTCTTCAAACTTCAAAATATCCTCTTCCATAATTCTACAACTTAGTGTGGATTCATGCAACGTCATTTAACATGTATCATGTAAAATTTATCAATTAACATTTATCATCTAACAAATAGCGAAAATGGTACCATCTTTGCATACCAAATTAACATTATTTGAGAAGAAATTATACGCATGCGCACAAGTCAGTTCTTCCAACTTAATGAATGTATTATTTTTTTTTACATAAAAAAGATGTAAAAAAAAATAATACATTCTCAAATGTTACAAACATATAAACATTTGTTTCCTGAAATGGAAAGGCAGAAGTGCTTTTTGTCCTGATGATGCTGTTGACGGCCAGTTTTTTCCTGTTGAAGTCAAAGAGGAAATGAAGATAGAAAAGAAAAAGGAATATTTGACAATCTTGTAAAACTGTCGGACAAGATTCACAAGAATGGCATCATCAATATCCATAATATCTGATTTTACTTTTTGTCCGATATATTATTTCACATCACCAACAACACTCACAATGACATTCAATTTCGTACAAGGTTGCGCACAATACGAAAATCTGGTTCATTTAATGTAAGAAGTTAAAAGTTGGCCAACATTCTACATGTTACATGATAAATGATAATTGTCAAATGTCTGCATAAACACAGTCATTGGAAAATATGAAATTCAACTTATAATTGTTAATTGTAAAATGATAACTGTTACATGATACATGTTAAATGACGCTGCATAAATCCACACTTACTTAATCCAATGCCTTCATACCGTTAGGTGTCAGGCGAATTCTATAACATAGTGATCAATTATCAAGTACCAACTCATACAGAACAAAACGTTGCATTGTTATAAATGTTTTGGTGAATTAGAAATGATCTTGATTAGATTCGAGAAATAAGTAAAACATGCGATTTTGTTGCATTCACCATACATGCATGATTCAACTGAACAATTTTGGTACATGGCATTTTGAGCATCATATATTATTATGTATATGATATGTTTCCTGTTATGTAACCAACTGAACAAGAGAATATATCGCATGAATCGTGAAACTGTGTATTTGATATGTTGCATCGTGATGTTTCTCTCGGAACACTGATGAGCTGCAGTTGTCATATGGCAGACATTATATGTGTTTGCCAACCCCATTGAAATATGTCCTTAATATAAGTTTTTTCTCCTTCTATCCTGGTTTTTATTGAATCCAACTGAAGTGAGACTTTGAGTTTCTCTCTTGATTACCTCATCACCTCCAATTTGTGCATGGACTACTACCAGAGATTTTGAAATTATTTATATTCTAATAATCATATCAATTATATTCATAATGTGGAATTGTTTCTTCACATTTATGATATTATCATTATATTTCTGTAATAAGCATTCACATACGTACTCATTCTTGCAGGTAATAAAAAATGCAGGGAAGACTGGATCCATATAGACTACGAGAGAACCTACAACATATTCTTGGACGTCATCCTACTTGTCATACCTCTCATAGTGCTAGGTGTTACTTATTCTTTGATAACTAGGACACTTTGCAAAGGAATGAGGATCGAGAAGCCCAGCAGCGATGGTGAGTTCAACAAAAAGTCATTGATTACAGACAAATTGTAAAAAATCTTCAGAATTATAGAATGAAATCACATCGAAAGATGTTAATTGCTAGTTATTGAAACAAAGGTAGTGAAAAAGTGAAAAAGGTTCATGGATGATTCATTGGGAAATGCGCATACAATAAGGTTGCATAATTTCTTCTGAATAATCTACATTTCATTAATCTATCATTCTTTATAACCGAGATACATTGTGATTTATTGATTTCTCCCATTTTTTCAATTAATCATAATTTATGAACCACCCAACACAATTTTTCGATATTTGGATTGTATGTTATTTGTCCACAGTTTTGATGATTGATATGATTAGAAAAGTTCTATTCCAGGGCTGGCCTCGAAAAAATTAATGAGAAGGTTTCGAGTCAAAACATTACCCTATATATCAATATTTTGAAATGTCATTTACAAATTTGAAAAGAGCAGAAAAAATAAGTTTGATTGAAATAATTTGGTTTTTCCTCATACAACTTTTTCATCTATTTGCTTGAGGTTTCAATAATGACGTGACACGAAATTTAAAAAAAAATTGTCGTCCTCAAATGGCATTTTTTCATTTTTAATTCATAAAATCATCATCTATTTCTTATTCTTCAAATTTTTTTAATCGCAACGTTATTGAAAAACTAGAGGACAAGTCCGTATTTGGGAAAAATTATTAATATTACATGCTTCAAATACCCTGTATGTGTAAGTGAATTATCAAAACATTTGTTTACCGCAGTACCGCACTACATTAGAAACACCAATAATTATGAAAATGAAGAACAATGCCCATTCCGAAAGAATCATAACTTTGTTTCAAACAAAAATAACGTTGTCACAAATCTACATTTTAAAAGTTAAACATAACAGAAAATAACAAACTAGAGACTTTTCTTTATCCACGTCTGACTATTTTTTTAGCTAGATCATGAATGTTTCCCGACTCTTGTGATGCATTCTTGATAATAATGATAAAATATGTACGTACACTTTGGTTTGATATCCCAAATCGACAAATCGTTTTTTCTACTCACATAACTAAAATGGCATTTAGCGTACGGATATGTACCACGCTAAATGATCGATTAATCACGGATTCTCGATCTGTGATTTATTCAAATATTAAACACGTTACCATGGCAACACGATTTCTTAAACACATTACCATGGCAACGCAGTTTATTAAACACAGCTTCAGTAATTTGAGACATGTCAGGCCTGTCAATTGTATTAACTGTCAACTGTTATTTTCGAATTTTGTATCAGAATTATTCAAACAATATTCGTTTGTATCAGAATTCTTCATTAAAAATATATGCAAAAAGTAGACGAAAGTGAAATCGAAGAGAATGTTATGGTACTTGCATATCTCCAAGAAGTGTAAAAATGAAGCATCCATCTTTGAGAACAATTTATTTATTCTGCGCTAAGCATGACAATAAACGTGAAACAAAGGTTAGTAAGCAATGGACTGGACACATCTACAACCAATATCACTCATACGTGTCTCGCTGGTTCCATGCAGTTGCATGTATTATGTTCTCAATTCCCATTCCTTTCGAATTATTTTGTAGGTTAGCAGGAATTGCAGGTATGTTGATGTAATTTTCGGAGTTCGTAGAAAAATCATAGTATGTAACGCGTTTATAAACTCTTCTAGACACTCGTTTATTAAACACTCGCTCCGCTCTGCTCCGCTCGTGCTTAAACTACTCGTTACTAAAAGGACGTTCATAACACTTTTTACATAATATACTATCAATTGTCAAGATGGCTGATGTTAGAGTACAATTCTGACGTTAGTTGATGAGTTTGTACTGTTTACTTGGTGTTTTGTGCTGTTAAGTTATTTGTTAATAACAGTTTTTGCTTACTCAATGACACATAATTTCAATGCAATTTGTGGCAACGATATTCTTGTTTGAAATGAAGTTATTATTTTTGTTGTTGTTATTTAAAATGTAGTACAATGTACAGTCGCATTCAATAAAAAAGCGTACAAGTATTGAAAAGAGAGGATTTCGGGATCCTAGTTCTAGTTGTGTTAAACTGGCTCAGCCAATGCTTTGTGTTTTTGAGAACCTATGACAACTTTACTGTCAACATTTGGTGAACAATCATTCCGATAGCCCGTTTCATGCAGAATAGGATGACTTTAATTTCTCTCTGTAATATACTTGTACGCTTTTTTTTGAATACGACATCATAAGAATAAAGTCAGAGTTTGAAATTTAATTTTGATTATTGTCCGAAGAGTCCACAAATCTCAATATTTTGGCTTACTTCTTAATATGGATCTGCTTCTTCCAATAGATCATTTCTTATTTGAAAACCCAATAGGCGTAACAACAAACCTCATCATGGGATCACTCTGTGCTGAAATAGAACTGAAAAGCCCATCAGTATCGAGTATGGCAAAAACAGGTCTGTGACAGACACTGGCAGAATACTAATTAAATATAAGATGTATCGGATTGAGAGGATTACTTTCTGTCGAGAATTGTCAAGTCATACGGACGAGAGCGAACATTTCTTTTTCATCCTTTCCGCCAAACCTCCGCAAAAAATCCTATATTCCTAATGAGGCAATCTATCTTTTTGCGTATTCGCTCTATCAAATCCATTTCCAGTTTTTCGTCTCTATTAGGACGTAATATGATGCCAAGGGATAAGCGATACAAGATTAATGTAATGAGTAGAAGGCAAATTGAGTATAATATTCTGTAGTATATCTTGTATCAATCGAGACTTTACATCATTGTGAATATGACTTGCTGAAGCTCTCGAATCTGTCTTGAATCCACGATCTCTCTCATATCGTTATACAGGGTGTTCCTGAAATGTCCTTACGAAAAACTACTACATATTCCTCAGAGTAGGAGAGCCATAATGGAAACATCTTACGTATTCGTTGGGTAGGGATCCTGAAATTTGCAGGAGCGAGAGATATACCAAACATGTACTCTATGCGGCCAAGTATTTTCATCTTCAGTGATATCAGGAGTCGAAATAGGTTCATAATCACTTCGGAATAGGAGTCAGGACGCCCAATTCTCTAGTTATTGAAATTTTTATTGACAAATTTCCAGTTCTGAGAATATTATTTTTGTCTCTCCCCGTATCTTTCGTTATCATTAGATTAGTATCCTGAGATATGCTGAAGCGGGAGATATACCAGGAATGCACTTTATGACCAAGTATGGTCATCTTCAGTGATATACACTGCTTGCCAACCGCCATGGAACTACAAAAATTTCCGGAAAATGATATTAGGAAGCAAAATAGGATGCAAATCACTTCGGATTCGGAATCAGGACGGTCAATTCACCAACTTCTCATACTTTTCCTGAAGAAAATCAGTTCTGGAAATTTCATTTTTGTCTCACTTTTGATGGAAAAACCCCCGTATCTTACGTAATTATCGAATTAGGATTGTTGAATTTCCAGGAGCAAGAAATATTTCAAAGGTACAGTCAATGACCAATTGAAATCACCATCAGTGATATACACTGCTCGCTAGCAGTGATGGAACCACCTACATGTCCGGAAAATCATATTAGCGGACAAGATATGTTGGAAATCACTGCGGATTCGAGAACAGAGAAAGAACGTATAATTCAAGTCAAGTACTGTTATTCCTTCAGAACAATTTCCAGTTCTTAAATAATAAATTCATGGAAGCACCCCAGTATCTTACGTGATTATTGATGATTGATGTAGATGTTCGAATTTTCCGATTTAATAAATTTTTCCTCCTGAAATGTCGGTGGTTCTGTGGCCGCTGGCGAGCAGTGTATCATTGAAGATGACCCCACTTGGTTATAGAGTACATTTTTGATATATCTCTCGCTCCAGCTAATTTCAGAATCGTAACCCAACGATTACGTAAGATACGGGGGTGTTTCCATGAGAACTGAGACGAAAATGAATTTTTCAGAACTGAAAATTGTTCACAGAGAATAAATAGATAAATTTATTTAGAATTTGAAATAGGATTCCCTAATATACAGGTTAGCTAACTTACATCTAGTACAATAAACTAAATTTATACTAATAATACAAATATCAATATATATATGCATATAGTGTTTAAACTGGACAAAAGAAATATTCAATGTCGTTCCTGGATATGTTTCAAAAGTTCATTCTTAAAAACATTCAATGATGGAGAAGATTTAATTGAATCAGGCAATTTATTGAATAGGACAAAACCTTTGAAGAATAAATTGCACATACTACTTCTTGTATTTGTTCTATTTATATGAATGTGACTGTTGTGTCTGGTTGAATGGTGATGAATGTCTTTATTGAAAGTTATCAATGATAACAAGTATGGTGGGGTCATTTTATTTAATATTTTATAGATGAACACCATAGAACAATAGAGTAATCTTTGGGATACTGAGAGCCATTGTAGAGCAGATAGCATGGTAGAAATTGGTGTATACCTGTTACATTTTAAAATTATTCTCATTCCCCGATTTTGTAGTTTTTGCATTTGTTGCACTTTGTTCAAATTAAAAGAGAATAAAATAGATGCACAATAGTCAAAATGGGGTTGGATTATTGATTTAAATACCAAAATTTTTGTATCTGTTGATAAGTTACAGGCGATTCTCGAGAAAAAATATAATTTTTTTGCAATCTTTTTTTCAATATACTTAAAGTGGTCGTCAAAAGTTAAGCAATTATCAAGTTGAAACACCAAATACTTCACTGATGTTACTATTTCTATACGTTCATTTTCCATTTTTATATTTATGTTGTTTGTGTTTATTTGATTATATTTGAATTTAGTAGTAATTATCATTGCTTTAGTTTTTCCAACGTTTAGTTTCATTTTATTGATCTTCAGGTATTTTTCGACCATTGCTAATACTGTATTCATTTTGAGGACAGTTTCTTCTAAATTTACTCCAGTACATGCCAATAATGTGTCATCTGCAAATAAGTTTATGAACTCACAATCTGTAAATAATTGAATATCATTCAGATATAAAATGAATAAGAGGGGGCCAAGTACACTACCTTGTGGTACTCCTGTATGATTCATTGTATATGATGAGAAATAATCATTAACACGTACTCTCTGTTTCCTATTTGATAAATAAATAGTGAATTGGGCGTCCTGATTCCGAATCCGAAGTGATTCTCAACCTATTTTGACCCCTAATATCATTTTCTGGAAATTGGGGTGGTTCCATGGCTATTGGCGAGCAGTGTTAATCACTGAAGATGACCTCACTTGGTCATCGAGTGCATTTTTGGTATATCTCACACAATGATTACGTAAGATACAGGGGTGTTTCCATTATTTGTCGCTGAGGAAAGTAAAAATATTGTAGTTCATCGAATGGCACCTGTGTCAATGAACATCCTGAGAAAAATGATGGGAAAATTGTACTTTCATGCGTGCGGATATTTGGACTGAGACGGCTCCTAAGTTATACAGTACTGAAATCTTTTTTGCTTCATCAAACAGCTCAAAAATTTTCACTCGAATTTGGTACGTTGGCATAGAATTCATGGGTAATAGAACATATATTCCATACCCTAATAACACAATTATGTCCCATGGATATCCTTAGGACGTCCTGTCGGGACATTCAGGACGTCCATAGGACGTTCGAATTTGATACCGTAGACGCGTCCATCGGACGTCTGTGGGACGCACAAATGTCCCACTTGAGGACCAACCAGGGACGTCCTTGACGCCTGTCCCTGGGACAACTATCAAATACCTGATCCAATACATCCAATGGATGTCCCTAAAGGAACGTTCAAAATCATATCCCATCAGGGGCATATCATGGACGTCCTTGCATGGACATTCTACACTTAGTTCCACGTGGGACGTCTAAGGGGTGCTATTTCTAGGACATTTGAAATGATGTACCAACTAGGACATTCGGTGGACGCCCTTGCTCGGACATTGCATGATATGAACGGGATGGGACGTCCCAAGGACACTCATTTTTGGTTCGGACTTGAATTGTACCAAATAGGGACGTCCCTAGGATGTTGTGTGCTAGTAGGGTTATCATTGTGAATATTATTCCATGGGCGTAGAACTTAATTTTTTCAGTATATGGATAGGTAGAAAAAAGAACTCTTGATAAAGTTAGATTACTTTTATGGTTTTCACAAACTTTCAGTTAAGATTAAAGCGATCAACAGGTATTTCATAAAAATATTGCATCATCTTCACGTAGATTCACGACAAAATAGATTGAAATGTGCTATTTTTTATGTTTTTTTTTGTAATGAACAAGTCAGAGCCGTCTAACGCCCTGACTGGTAACTTTGTACTGAGGTGAGTTTGCTTGTATCAATTATTCTCTTCGTATGAATCTTTGTAAAGCCAATAAGGATATTCATGACATATCTGTTAATCGTTTGAATGTTGACTGATGCTCTGAATTATTATAATTCAAATTTTATCTGGAATATGAGAGTCAATTCATACTTTATCATTATCTAAAGGTGAATTTATCTCATAAATATTTGGGGATCTTATTCCAAGAATAGTTTCAACAAAATTTCTGTTCTATATAAAAAGGCATTGAAAGCGATCGAAAGTATTGTATCGTCTTCCATATGATACTCCAACAAATCAACTGTTATAAGAAAACAAACACATTTTCTTTGGCAGAATACTTTTTAATCAATGCTTCCAAAATTTTCTATTATATTATCAACAAAAAGCCAGATTCAAATTCTATATTAATTAGGAATTCCCAGATTCATGTTCATCACACTAGACAATACAACTTGTTTCATTTTGAACCTGCAAAATCTAAACTTGGACAGAAAAGGTTTACACATGAGGCGATTTCGAAATTCGATAAATCACCAGATGATATCAAAAACAGCCCATATATTATACAATTCAAAAATAAAGTGAAGAAATACATTCATATGCAAAGGAATGATCAAAGGTGAAAGACTATGAATTTTTTTTTCTTCACTGTTTCTTTTTTTTTCCTTTATGTTCACTATATTTTGAGATACTTTCATGATATATAAAATTTTTGTTGACTTTTTGTAATTTCAATTATACAACAGTCGATAATACTTCATGAATGATCTGATACCAGGAATTACTGTCTGGTCAATCATGTCATTCCTATTAGAAAATTAAATATACTTTATATAGTATTTTTATAAAATGTATCAATGAAGAAAAGAATGTAAAGCAATAACTGAAAAAAATAAAAATGAAGAAGTCCTCATTTCACTAGAGTTTCTAACTAGAGTTTCCATGCTACAAACTTTTATCCATATTTTCCAGCTCCCAATCCAGTAAACTTGTACGTCAACCTTCAAGGAACCAATTCGACGCGTTCCTCCTGCCGCAACTTCATCCGCAAGTATTCCAGCCGCCAGCATCTACAGCAGAACTGGTCCCAAGAATCCAGCAGCCCATTATCTGGTTCAAGGAAACACCCGACCAGCCTGAGAAGAACCAACGCTGAACGCAGCCTACTGAACAAACGGCGCGTAATCAAAATGCTGTTTGCAGTAGTGCTAGAGTTCTTCATTTGCTGGACTCCGCTCTACGTCATCAACACCATAGCCCTCTTCGATGCCTCCATCATCTATAACAGCATAGGATACACTGGTGTCAGCTTCTTCCAGCTGTTGGCTTACACTTCCAGCTGCTGCAATCCGATTACGTATTGCTTCATGAACTGTAGCTTTCGTAAATCCTTTCTCAATTTGTTCAGGTGCTTGAGGAAGTATACGAATTCTAGTAACCACGGGCACACGGGTAGTGAGATGAACATGGACACCAAGTGGAGTAATAGGTTGTCTGAGAGAACTTGAGATAGGTCGCAACGGGACTGTAAATATTGTTGAAGATTGAGGAATTTGTATTCTCAAGGTACAGAAAATGATAACAATCTGAGAAGAACACAAGACACGTCATCAAAATGAGGTTCTATAGCATTTTGATGCTTGAATATAAGCTTTGATAGCAAAAGCTTCACAAAAAATGTTCCTCTCTTTCTCAAAATCTGGCTTGTGCCTGTAGCTTTTAAAGTCGTTTTCTCCAGGTTCCTGGAAAAATACGAACACTCAGGTAGTAATATGAAAAATCTAGTCACCAATTGAATTGTCAGAGAGACATGACTGTGAATATTGTTGATGTTTGGAAAATTAGTGTTAGTAAGTATGTCTATGATCAAGTCATCATTTCAGGAGTAAATTTGGTTTGAACTTTCAACTTATTTATCTCTGGTCTCTTGTAGGCTTACGCTGATCTGTTTGAGAATGTGCCAATAAACATCGTAAATTGAAACTATTCTCTGCAGTGGTGGTACAAGGATCAGATATTTTTTTAAAGAGGCGATTATCTTACCAGTCATTAGGCTATTGGAATTTTTTTGTTGATTGAAAGGCATTCTCGAGCAATTTCATTCTTGAGATTGAAATATCAAAATGGATATATAGATGTTTGATGTGACAAAAATATAATACAATCAAAGTTAATGTTTCAGAGGAAATCGAACAATAAATTTATATTATGAGTCGAGTGTTTTTTTGTTTGTTCATGATAGTTTTCAACAATGTATCATCATGATATTCAACAGATATAACTGTTATTGTTGAAAAATTTTATGAGTTGAAACTGCTACACAGTAGAAAATGGATAACTTCGTTGTATTCTTGTAGACACACCATGGTTTATTATTACACCATTTCGTTGTTGAAGATAGTGACCTCAAAATGGTTTATGATTTGAATTGAAAATCATCCGTATTGTAACTAAAGAGGAAGTATTGGAAACTGAACTGATCATGTCAAATAACACTTCATCAGATTATCTTTCAGACAAGTGACGCTTTATCATAATGCTGTTGATGCAATGGTGCTCGAGTTCTCCATTTGCTGCACCCCTTTCTACATCATGAACACCATATAGCCATTGCCCTCTTCTATACCTCCATTATCTATAACAGCATGGGATACACTGGCGTCAGCTTCTTCGAGCTTTTGGCTTACACTTCGAGCTGTTCCAATTCGATTACGTATTGGTTCATGAACTGTAGCTTTCGCAAATATTACCTGAATTTATTCAAGTGCCTGGGGAAGTATACGAATTCTTGTAACCACGGGCACACGAGTAGCGAGATGAATGTGGACATCAACTTTGTCGGAGAGAACTTCCCAGGCAACGTCACTGTGACGTCCCTAATTGGTGATTTCTCGTCAGAGATGACACACACCAATTTATGACGTCACTATCACGTACTTTCTATGACGTGATATTCACGTCATCGTTTCGACGTCGAGTGAACGTCACTTAGATGGGTAAAAGAAGACGTCAGTTTCATGACGTTGCAGGGACCACCTGTCGACGTCCATTTTTCCCAGCCCTTCTCTAAACCATGGATACTTATATATTATCATGTGAAACAGAAGTATAACTCGTGAAAGCAAATCAACATGCAAGTTTTATTCTAATTATCATTATACACGAAAAGTAGTAGAGAAACTTTTTTCTAAAAAACTTTGACACACTGTATATCTCGGAAACCAACAAGCTATGTATATATAAAATTGATTGTTTAGGTATACCTATATTGAAACCGTTACTATTATGACGTTGCAGTGACGTATCTATGACGTCTAAAAATCACGTCGGTGTGACGTACCAATTTGGTGAGCTTCGTCATTCAGAAAATTTTTCAATAATTTGCTATTCAGATTTCTGTTGGGTGACAAAGAATGCATCAATATACATTATTCAACAAAGTGAAGCCAAATTCGCCAACATCCTTTTCATTGCTATCAAACTATTCTTTCTTTATTGCTTACAGCTCGCCGACACAAACTACATAATTTTTGATACAAATACGAGTAACTGATTGCATTCTGATGGAGATGCGTAGTGATGGATGGCGCTGCTGAATAGGCGATTGAATGAACATGACACAGGAGGGACCCACCAAGCAGACTCAACAATGCATAATCAATATTCAATAATGTCATCAGAGGCTAGTGGTGTTTATCACACCATGTTAAAGGATTCTTTTTTACGTATCATCGCCAAATTCAATCGTCATTTTGACCTCATTATGACGTCAGTCGGACGTCACAGTTTGGTGAGTGTATGACGTCAATACGACGTGAGTAATATGACGTCATTGGGCTGTGACTTATTCACGTCATTATCACGTCAATGCGACGTCAACTACTGACGTCACCTTGGTCATTCAAGTGACGTGAAAAAGACGTCACTGGAACGTCATTTGGTTGCCTGGGTTGAGATACGTCGCAACGGGACTGGAAATATTCTTGTAGATTGAGAAAGGTGTATTCTCCAGGTGTAGAAAATAATTGAGCAATCTGAGAAGAAAGTGATACATGTCATCAAAATGGCGTACCATAGCATTTTGATGCTTCTATAAGCTTCAACAGGGAAAGCTCCATAAGAAGTGTTCGTTTTTTTTTTAAAAAGATGTCTAGTACCTGTAGTTTTCTTAGTCGTTTTTTTCAGGTGAATATGAAAATACGAACACTCAGCTAATGATATGGAATATATAGACATCAATTGACTTGACAGAGAGACTTGACGACTGTAGTTATTGTAGATATGTTTGATGAATTATTGTTGTTGAGTCTATGATCGAAATGATCATTTGTAAAGAAAATTTGGTCTTATCCTCATCTCTGGTCACTGATAGGCTCACGCTGAGATGTTCGAAATCGAGCCAATATACGGCATGATTTGTAACGTTCATCTTGATGATTGAAGGTTCACTTATTCTGAGATGGATGGAATTGTAAAGTTGAGCATCCTGGTGTAACTGGGCTATTGAATAGTTGAGAGGCATTCTTGAACGATTTTATTTTTGGGATTGAAATATTATATTGGATAAATGTTTGATGTGACAAAAATATATAATTCAATCAAAGTTCATGTTCCAGAATAAATCTATCGATAAATTTATTTCATGAACCGCGTGTTTTTTCGTTTTGTCAACAATGCATTCCCATAATACTTGAGATCTAACCATTATGGCTGGAAAATTTCATGGAATGTGAAACTGCTACACAGAAGCAATGGGGCAACATCCACAATATGTCCATTATCCAGTGATTTAGCTAAATAGAGAATTATCTGTTCACAAAACCAAAACGATTATTTGGAATTACGTGCTGGTAGTGGATACTTCACAGTAAAATGTATAACTCGTAAATGCAAATAGGGCATTATGTTGTTGAATCTATAATGCTTGTTATGCATGAAATATCCGTATAATATATTTTGGTTCGCCAGAAATAATCGACAATTTATCATTTAATACATCAGTATTGTAGGGAAGGTACAACATGGTACAAACATTGCATCAACACTGGACAATCAATGATAGCAGATTTGAATATATGTGTGTGATTATAGCCGATGAAGAAGGATTATGATTCAATTCACATCATGAAAACAAAACAAAAATCATGAAGTATATTGATTGAGGGACGAATTACCTTCAAAACGATTCCTATAACAACCAATAGTAAAAACTGAGACCATCAAAGGACATAGGACATTCTATTCAGGAATCATAGAGGAAGAGAGCCAAATATATTTTCTGAATACATAATATACTTACTGATACATGCTTCTGAATCAGATATATCATTTCATGCATCTTTCTGTAGTAATACACACTCAAATACGTACCTTGATTTGATACTATCACTTCCTACTTCATCAAGTTTGAGTAGAAATCGAGAAACAATTTACATAATGAACCATATCTGAAGTTTAACCAATCTGTCAATGAATCATCTGCAGATTCGAACCAGTGAAAAATAGTATATTATTCAACGAGCGCATAATGATGGCTATCACCCACGAAGATAAAATTTGCAGTACGAGCCGAAGGCAAGTGCTGTAATCATCTGAGTGGGTAATAGCCATTATGTGCGAGCAGAGTACTATACTTTATCTACAACTATTCGAATATCAAAGCAACTCTGAGAGTTCAAAAATATATCTTTGGAAATAATGAAGGTTATTATATTACGAAATCACTTAATCTGATTTGGAATACTCATTGATTTCATCGAAAACTTATTGACAGAAATTTCAATCAACGAACAGCTTATAACTTATTTCAATAACTTTGATTGTGAAAATATGTTAAACAATGTTGGATCTAACTTTTATTAACAGGAAAAGAGTCGTGCAATCACATATAGATTGATTGATTGATTGTCTTAATTACCCCAAGAAACATAGTTGTTTATAATAGGGATACATAAACAATATACATAATGTTATACATACAATTATGAAATCATAATGAGATATAACAAGTAACAACGAAAAAAATGCAAATAATCATGCAATATCAACCTTGTATTGTAGGTATTCGAATAAAAAATGGAATTATCAAAGTCTCTGGAGCAGATATTTTTTCAAGTTTATTTTGAATCTAGCTGCTTCCTGTATATTCCTCAATTGACTTGGTAATGACTTGTATAGAACAATTCCTGTGTGAAAAATGGATTGTTTGCCGATATTTGACTTGAACGTATTTGCTATTAGTAAATTTGATTGTCTTGTTCCATGATTATGTAATGAATTGATTTCATTGAAATTTAAATTCGAAATTTTCAATTTATATAGGACAAATTGAATAAAACAACATATTTTAAGTTTATATAGTGATGTCAGATCTAATAAATCTCTAGGTTTGTATAAATTCATGGTTGGTTCGAGAAAATTTAAATTGAGAATACACTTCAATGTTTTATTTTGTAATTTCATTAGTGGACTCAAACGTGAAATATTGGTACTTCCCCATATTGATATTAGGTATTGAAATTTTGAGTAAATAAGAGAGAAATAATCACTCTTCAAGTATCTAGTCGAAATGAAATTTCGTATTTTGAATAAAATGCCTGTTATAGGATTAAGTTTGTTTCTCAAATGATCTATATGTTTATTCCACAATAGTCTTTCATCAATATAAAGACCTTAAAATTTTGTAACATCTGTATATATACTATTGCAGATTATTCATTAACTTGCTTACGCTGTAGCATATTCCCCCACTGCGATGATTAATTGTAGTACCCTGTCTCTAGACGCTAGTTATCAACAATGAAGTTCCATGGTTCTGATTGGTCTGTACTAATCTATTCGAATAGTCCGCACATGAGTGTGAGCCAATCTGCAACTGTCAAGTTTCAAGTCCTATTTTATGGTTATGGTTACTCATGATGGTATAGTCACTGTTGAAAATGAAAAACAGTGAATTCTCATTTTTCCGTGTATTTGTAGAATTAATGTGGTTAAAACTATGACACCCATTTGACAAGACGATTATTACGCGATCCTACTGTCATTATTACTCTATTACTCGATTCATCACAATGATGTCTGTCATTAAATGTTGAAAATCGAGAAAGCATTGTATGAATGACTCCATAATTGTAGATATAAAAATATTCATATTCTCTTTGTAGCTGGCAAATTGAAAATAATTGACAGTTTATATCAGGTCTTGGCCTATCGAATTCAGGAAAGTACTCTGAAGCCACCATCACCCAACAAACAATTTGTTTTCATGTGATGTGACATTCGATGATTCTTTCACATTTGATAATTTTTTCATAAACAGTCTCAAAGCTACTCTTCCCAATTTTTGCCTCTAGGGACTGATACTTCTATTTTTGGTGTGATACAGCTAAAGACAGTATCCTCAAGTAATATTTGAATATATTATTTTTTCCACAGCAATGTAGAACTAATGAGATCATGAGTTTTGGAATCGAACTTTCTGAAATTGAAAGAAATATGTAAATCTTCGAATAAATTTATTCATACTTACTTTTACCCTTATATCAATTTACATATAAATTTGTTTCTTGAAACTATACATACTATGTCAATATAAATTCATCTCATATCCACTTCGATATATGGGTTATCAATTTTCCAAGATATTTCTCGGGAAGTTTTCAATTCGAAATAATGTCCAACAAATATATTCAATCGAACTCTAACAAGAACAACACATGAACAAAGGAGTTAATAACATTTATATACATTGTTGACCTGATGAATTATTCTGTTATATTTGGTTCTGAAAATAATGTAGTCATTTTCATCTCAGTTTTCAATGTTTGGAAGAAGGAATTTTTCTCACATCTCCATTAGAGGCAGCTCCATTTGTACTTCCATTTCTGTATGTTCTACCTCTCAAAGGACCCCAGTAACATAAATGACTCTTCATGGATTCATCCAACGGTGGAATGTATGATCTTGGTATCAAAAACGTTGACAGGTTGAAGAGATCGACAAATACTTTGTATCGATCGCTGAAACATTCGAATTTGGTCATAGTTACTGTTAATTATTTTTTGATACTTGGTATATCGGTTATTTTTTGATATCCATGTGTGCTGTATAGTTAAGTTGTTGATTTTACCATTGGTGACGAGAATAAAAATCTATGAAAAACCAGACTCAGATTCAGAATTAATATTGAGCCGGATAAGAACTAACATGGTAACACAGTAAGTTCAATTTTGAAGAGATTCCAGAAACGAAAATTTTTGAACGGTAACTGACATTCCGAACAAAAAATGTCAGAAAAATTAAGAAGGTCTGTCAGAAAGAATTTGGGTAAAAATACAATGTTAGATCCAAACTTTGTATGGCCTCAGACAGTCCTGCCTACGAGAAACCCAAGTGATGCTGTTGGTGATCACATCAACATTGCTCCTTCAGCCTCAATGACGCCATCTCTAACAGTAGATCATCTTCCTCCCAGTTTTAGTAGGAATGAAAGTACTGAGCATTCAACAGATATAAGGGAAACAGATTCAATGAACGAACAGACTTCCAGGTTGAGTGTGTCAGCATATTCCAAGAAGGAGGGAACTGTGATGTCTAGACAGACAAAGAAAAAATCGCAGATTTCCTCAAGGATATCTAAAAATGAATGGAGAGGAAAAAATTAGCGATAGATACAGAAAAGGCAAGAGCAGATTTATTGAAGAAAAGGTTAGAGATAGAATCCCAGCTGAAAATATTAGAATTAGAAAAAGAATTGGCAGAAGCTCAACTAGAAGACATTGAGGATGAAACTGAAAGAAGTTCTCAAGAAGAAGACAGTGAAATATTCAGAAGGCAACAAGATATTGAAAAGTGGGTAGTCAAAAGTTCTATCATGAATAGGAATCCTAGCCCTGAACCTATAGAAGAGCAATCAGCGGATGAGAAGAAAGACGAAAACAGCTTGAATAGGCTTTGCCAAGTGATTGAGAAGGCAATTAATAGTGTTTCTTGTCCTGATAATACAAGAAGTCTATTGAATAGGCAAGTCCTAGATAGAGATCTACCTATTTTTGATGGGAAACCTGAAGATTGGCCATTGTTTATCACACAATTCAACAGACGTATCGCAGTTTGTCAATATTCGGATGACGAGAAAATGCTGAAACTACAGAAGAGTCTGAAAGGAGAAGCTCTAAACAGTGTACGAGGTATGATGCTTCAACCAAAAAATGTTAATCTTATCATCCAGACATTAGAAATGCGCTTTGGTAGAGCTGAATATATCATTGATGCTCTAATTGATCAAATCCAAGCTCTTCCTGTTGTCAAAGATGGTGATTATGACATGTTCATCAAGTTTTCCTGCAATGTTAATAATCTAGTTGCCACGTTGGAACAACTAGGCGCAGGTAACTACTTGGACAATCCGTATTTGTTGAAGAAATTGCTGGAGAAGGTTCCCAATAACCTGAAGATCCAATGGGGCCAAATTGTGGTACTGAAAGAACAAAAAGGAGAAACAAAAGCTACTTTGAAAGATTTCGCTGACTGGGCAGGTTCAATTGCATCAGCAGCTTGTTGTGTAGTTACTCCAAGGTATCAGCAGGCAAGTTTTCCGAATCGAAGTAGTAGAAACCCTTTCATTCGAACTCATGAAAAGGTTTTCCATACCAATATCAAGGATTTCCAGAAAGATGATTCACACTGTTTCTATTGTGATGAATTGAGTAGTCACAGTATAGTGAACTGTCCCAAAATGAAAGAAGACTCGGTAGATGATCGTTGGAAAAAGATAGTTGAAGCCAAGGTATGTTTTTCTTGCTTGGGCACACGTCACAGAAAAATAAACTGCAAATCCAGGAGATTTTGTGGAGTCGATGGATGTAGAAGACGTCACCACTTCTTACTGCATAAAGCCACCACAGATGCACCTGAAAATCGGAATGCTGTTGATATCAAGCAAGAAGACCACACCAAGAATACCCCTGATGAGAATATCAATGAAACCGTCCTCACAACCAAAGATAACTCGAAAGTTCTATTGAGGATAGCACCAATAAAATTGTATGGACAGAACGGTTGTTTCGAAACATTTGCTCTCTTCGATGAAGGTTCAACTGTTTCATTGATTGAAGAAAATATGGCAAAGAAGTTGGGTAATGTTGGCGAAATTCGGCCATTCTGCATGCAATGGGCCAACGAGATTGTTCAAAATAATGAAGATTCCCAATGTATAGACCTGAAGATTGCTGGAATACACGACGATGCGAAAATCTACATGATGAAGAATATTCGAACTGTGAAAAATCTGGCACTACCTTGTCAAACGGTTGTAATGTCTGATTTCAATGAAGTTTATCTTCAGGGACTGCCATTAAGAGATATAAGGAATGCCAAACCAACTCTACTGATTGGACAAGACAACATACATCTAACAGTAGCCAGAAAAGTCTTCCAGGGCTCGACTACGAGTCCAGTAGTTACAAAAACACATTTGGGATGGGTCATACATGGAAATGTTGGACGAACGCTTGAAACTGACAATAATTTTACGTTCCATGTATGCTGCCAAGAAAATGAGGAAGATATGAACCGTCTCATTATGAACTCCTTTTCGACTGAGGCTTTTGGTGTAGCTGTGACGAACTCCAGAATGAATAAAGAAGAGAAGAGAGCCTTGGAAATCCTAGAGAGCACGACTTCGAAAATTGAGAATGAGAATCGATACCAAACTGGCCTACTATGGAGAAAAGACACTATTATTATGCCTGAGAGCAGAAGAAACGCATTCAACCGACTTCTTTGCGTGGAAAGAAAAATGGCGAAAGACAAATCATATTTCGACCAATACTGTGAGAAGATTGAAGATTATCTCCGGAAAGGTTACATTCGTCGTCTAGAAGCTTCTGAAGTCTCCAACAAAAATCCAAGAGTATGGTATCTACCACATTTTGGTGTAGTCAACCCCAATAAACCGAATAAGCTGAGGTTGGTTTTCGATGCCGCAGCCAAATCTGGTAATACCAGTCTCAATGATAATCTCCTGCAAGGTCCAGATTACCTGAGTTCACTTCCTGGAGTATTGATGAGGTTTAGACGATGGAAATGGGGCTTTTGCGGGGACATCGCAGAAATGTTTCATCAAGTCCAGATAAGACCTGAGGATCGTTGTGCTCAACGATTTCTTTGGAGAAAGGGAGATTCAACCAGGGACGTAGATGAATATGAAATGCAAGTGATGATATTTGGTGCTACTTGCTCTCCATGCTCGGCACAATTCGTGAAAAACCTCAACGCAAGAAAATCAAAAACTTATTCACATCTAGCTTTTGATGTCGAAAATCAGTTTTATGTTGATGAAAACCTAGACTCCACTACAGATGAAGAAACGGCTATCCAGAAAATTGATGAGATGATCAACCTCCACCGTGAAGGCGGTTTTGAAATAGTAGGATGGGTATCTAATTCTTCGAGAGTTACAGGAAAATATGCCGAATCTAAAACACTAACTAAAGATCTCAACAAATCTACAGCTAATCGAGTCCTTGGAATATGGTGGGATGTTATTGCAGATGAATTCACATTCAATATTTCATTTCACAAAGTGAACGCAGAAATAGTCAGTGGAATGAAAGTACCAACAAAACGAGAAGCTCTGAAGCTGGTGATGTCTGTATTCGACCCCCTTGGTTTCCTCACGAATTTAACAATTAGGGGACGAATTTTACTTCAGCAAATTTGGCGATGTGGTATCACTTGGGACGATGCCATTCCTGAGAGTATTTTCCGAAATTGGATTATTTGGCTGCAAGAACTCAAAGAGATTCAAAACGTACGAATACCAAGATGTTATTCCCATATTCTACCAGAGGCTCTTGGAATTGAAATTCACGTATTCTGCGATGCCAGTGAAGAGGCATTTGCTGCTGCAGCCTACCTGCGGATAATTTCCAGTGAAGGTACTCATGTTGTCTTAGTTTCTGCGAGGGCTAGAGTCGCACCACTTAGATCGATATCCATTCCAAGACTAGAACTCCAAGCTGCAGTAATGGGTAGCAGGTTATTGTACACATTCAAGAATGGAATACACCTGAATATTCGAGCTTCATATTTGTGGACTGATTCTAGAATTGTACTAAACTGGATACATGTTCCTACAAACGAAAACGTTGCTGATGGAGTAACTCGATTCAGTTGCCACTCAGATCTTCATGTGAACTCACGATGGTTTATAGGACCACCTTTCCTGCGACAACCTGAAAATTGCTGGCCGAAACAAGATTTCAATAATTCATTTTCGAAAGAAGATTCTGAAGAAAAAATCAATCATGTATTTTTGACCTTGTCGGTAGATGGAAACCAGAGCTTACCTGACGTGACTAGATCTTCAAAATGGAGACGCTTAGTTCGAGTAACTGCCTGGGTTCACCGATTCTGCAAAAGACTGAAAGAAAAAGAAGCAATAGCCAAAGAACTCACAGTTGAAGAACTCAATACTGCGGAAGAAAGTTGTCTTCGGGCATCTCAAAATCAGAGTTTTGAGTATGAAATAAAACTGCCCAAACGGCATGAGAGGCTAGAATCAGATTCCAGGATTTCACAATTTTCACCTTTCATAGACGAACGGGGGCTCCTACGTATGAACGGCAGACTTAATAATTGCGACTATGTAGATGAAAATGTGAAGAAACCTATTATTTTGGACCCAAAAAGTAGGTATACTAAATTAATAATCCAATACTATCACGAAAAAAGGCACCATCAAGGAGTTGAGATGGTTTTGAATGATTTGAGACAACGGTTCTGGATTATTAAAGGAAGATCTGCCGTGAAAACGACATTCAAGAATTGCCAACTCTGTAGGATTCGCAAAGCTAAACCCGATTATCCAGAAATGGGCCAATTACCACCTGCAAGACTCACTCAGAATGTTAAGCCCTTCACATTCACAGGCATCGACTACTTTGGACCATTGCATGTGTCTGTCGGAAGGCGTCGTGAAAAACGGTGGGGAGTCCTCTTCACTTGTATGTCTATAAGAGCCATACACTTAGAGATAGCCCATACACTTTCAACAGATGGTACTATAATGGCTATTCAGAGAATGACAGCGAGAAGAGGACCAATAAAATGTATATATTCAGATAATGGTACCAATTTTAAAGGCGCTAGCGAAGAATTGAAAAATTATTTCAATAACTTTGAGGCAGACCAGTTGATAGGAAAACTAGCTGAACAACAAATCGAATGGCACTTCATACCTCCCAGCAGTCCAAACATGGGTGGATGTTGGGAAAGATTAGTTGGATCGTCAAACGAGTTTTAAATAATATGTTGAAGGAAGAAGCTCCCAAAGATGAAGTATTGTTGACTGTTTTTGCAGAAGTTGAAAACGTAGTTAACAGTCGTCCGCTTACTCATGTTTCCCTGGACCCAAATGATCCGGAGTGCTTGACACCGAATCATCTATTAATCGGTTCACCAAGTCAACCTTCGCTTTCTCAAGGTGACGAAGATCTGAGGAAACAATGGAGAAGATCTCAACGATTAGCAGATATTTTCTGGACCAGATGGATCAAGGAATACTTACCAACATTAACCAGACGTGGAAAATGGACAAAAACCACAGAACCAATCAAATTGAATGATATTGTTGTGATAGTAGACCAAAACCAACCAAGAAATTCATGGACCTTAGGGAAGATTGTAACTACCTTTCCAGGAAAAGATGGTGTAACCAGGGTGGTAGAAGTCAAGACTTCCAAAGGAACTTACCGCCGCCCCGTTAATAGACTATGTAAACTCGATGTACAGGGTGAAAATTCTTGAGTAGATTTTTGCACGGTGGGGAGTATGTTAATTATTTTTTGATACTTGGTATATCGGTTATTTTTTGATATCCATGTGTGCTGTATAGTTAAGTTGTTGATTTTACCATTGGTGACGAGAATAAAAATCTATGAAAAACCAGACTCAGATTCAGAATTAATATTGAGTATTTCTGACAAGAATAGAAGTATATATTCTTCGACAGTTACCATATACCATGTTAGGTCAGCTCGTGAGCTTAAATCACTTGTGAAAAAACTATTGCTATAACAACTATATTATATTATCTTCATATTTCCACTTGTGTCAAAGTACAACCACAAATGAAAATTGATGAAACGTTGATAATTCTAAATCATGAAACTTCATTCTCACTAACTTAACGGAACACTGAGTAGGTAGTTACTCGAAATAACAGGTTATCACGTTAGGGAAATACTTGAATTTGACAATAGCAAAACGATATTCCGACTTATAATATACGGTGTTATCGAAATATTGTTTTAACATGTATTGACTCCGTTTGATGCACCTGGAAAACATCATTACTTGATTGTCAGGTACTTCGGATGGATCATTCACGATTGTTTCAGAGTTTCAATCATCGATAAACTTGTTCAGTGGCTATACGAACTTTGATTGAACGTTTATCTAACGTTTGAACATTACGTTATTTTTTCACAACTGGCTGTAAATCCATGCAGGAAAGTGATTTTGTCATTGATTGTTCAACAATTCACAATACACGTTTCATTGTATCAATCCAATATCACTACTAAGTTGATCATGAGTACATGCTTCCCATCAACGTAGCTTCATCTCCATTCTTCAACAAGCCTAGTAGTATATATCATAATTTTTTATACAGCTCGCTTACATCTGGCTGGCACTCTCTTCAGAATTTCAGAAACACATACGAATATCTAAGCGTACTGTGTAGAATAAGAATGGACGTCACGGGCCGTATTATGAGTAGACCAAAGAACCCACTATGCGAATTTGGAAGCTATCTTGATGCAATAAGCTAGGTTGTAGCAATTACGGAAACGGGCGACTCTGTATTATTGCAAACGTGAATTTGTGAATGTAACGTTCCAGCAATGCCAGCAACATGTGATATTGCTGCAACTCTACATTACCAAACTTCACTTCCTGCAATATTGCTTCAACATTGCATCAACATAGCTTTCAACTTTGCTTAGCGGGAAAAAGTAACAGCATCACTACACATACTGTTGAAGGTGTATCTAAAAGTGAATTCGTTGAAACGTCACCAATGGAATTGTATATAGGGTTGATAATCATAAGTAATATCACGATGTTCTGAATATTCGAGATGATTCTGTCGCTTCATTGTTCACGAAATTGTGTTGCCGAGCAACACCACGAGTCCGTCAGGACGAGTGGTGTTGCTTTACGGAAACACAATTGAGTCAACAATAAATGACTTAAGAATGAATTATGAGAAGATATTCAGGACAGAGTGGTATACTGCTAGACTTTTTCACGCTCACGAAGCATAAATAGCTTTTATAATGAGTGATTTATTCTGATAAATACAGCTATAATTATTTTATGTCAAACTGACAGACTCTGCTTCACTATTCATGCATGGTTACATAGAGATATTGCTTCGCTATCCATGGACACATCGTTGAAAACATCAACGCTGATAAACCAATCAGAATTGAGAGACAGCTAATGGTTTCGCGATAAGCACACGTTGTCTCTGACTTGTGATTGGTCAGATTATGTAATGAGAGAAATAGTTACTTCAAAAATACTAGGAGGAGATATAACTGGGGATTTTAATGGAGGATGATGAATTGAAGGATATTGAGAAAAATAGGCTACAAATGGAATTGAAGATGAAAAGGCATATTGACCCTGAAATGGCGTTCATCGATATAATTTTGAAAACTGACAATTTTATGAAAAAACGTTGAATATTCATATTCAGACTAAGTGGAAATTTTCATGAATATTGATGAACAAAAACATCGATCCCGTAGTGACAAACTGCGTTGCACTTGCCAAAGAATCTACCCATAACTTGAAGTGAAAAGTTTTTGGAATGTCTATAAATAACTCCTTCTCAACAATGATTATCCAACCATGCATACAGACAGATTGTATATATTGAATTGTTACATGAAGGAGCAATAAAAAAAATTACATTCAGCAAAATGATAGGTACGGAGACCAAAGTTCACCGTAAGATATTTGGGCACGTAATGGCGTGTATACTAGACGTATGATAGCCGAATGAGTCCCTTGCCATGTTGCCAATCACATTTCCTATGTGTAACGATTGCGCAAACAATGTATATGAGTTCTGAGTGAATAATATGAATAGAAACAAAAACTCATCGAAGTAATTTCCACAAATGTTCATAAAATAGACAGCAACTCTCCTGGTTAATAATGAATTAGTGTCTATTTCCTCGATGCCGATTGATTTCGATTTTGCCAGGTCAAGGCAGAAACACCTACCGACCGGTTTAGAGCTTTTGGATCTCATCAGTGTAGTGTAGAGTAGTCTCCAGCTAGCAGTCCGAAGGACCGCCAGATGAGCGTAACCTGGTCCAACAACATCCAATGAGCATATTTGTAGTCTCCGATGAAGCGTCTTCCACGAACAACGTGGGTGTCACGCCATCTAGAGTGGCCGATTGCCCGCTGATTGTATTTTGTTGGGCCAGGTTTTTTTGTATCGCTTGGTGCGCACGAAAGGAAATCCCTATAATGTTCAAAGAACATCGTGCGTTCGTAGGGAGGATAGGAACAGGAGGTAGGTATCGGAATTTTTTTTGAACTTCTGGAGATTGTCTGTTGTTGAGAATACTTCCCCAGGCAATGAATTCCAGAGCTTAGCCGTTCTATGGATGAAGCAGTTTTGATAAAGTGCTGTTCGACATCTTTCGAGGTTGACAACGGAAGGATGTGCTGACTGGGCTTGTCTAGTTCGTCTGACTGGTATTGCTAGTGCAGGGATTATAGCAGAGATTTCCGAAGAACATTTCCCGTGGAAGTATCGATAAAAAAGTAAAAGGTCGCCGACCTTTCTACGGTGTTCCAATGATGTCAAAGAGTGAGTGAGTGTGGCGTCACCCAGCAGGCGAATGGCTTTTCTCTGGATGGAATCTATGAGCATCAGCGTATGTTTTGGTGCTGAACCTCATATGTGGAAACAGTATTCTAGAACAGGCCGTATCTTCGCTTTGTAGATCATGAGTAGCTGTTGAGGTTTAGAATAGCTTTTCGCACGGAACAAGAATCCAAGTTTTTGTGAAGCAGCTTTTGCGATGGATTTAACATGATTACCCCATGGAAGAGTGTTGCTCATCGAAATACCGAGCATATATATTGTGGGCTTGGTGGGGATGGTGGTGCCAGACATTACAATATCGGGCATACTGAGTTCCGCCTTTGTAGAGAAAATACAGGCTTGAGTTTTGGTGGCGTTGAATTCAACTAGGTTGTTGGTTCCCCAGGCTGTGATTTCAGCAAGGTTTTCATTGACAGCATTGACCTGCCTGTACCGTGAGTTCTTAGTTTTCTGGGAAGAAATGGGAATTCTGGAAGAGAACGCAGTATGGAGGGTACTATCATCTGCAAAGCTGTGGATGGAGCAAGTTGTTACTCCCAACAGATCATTGATATGAAGAAGGAATAATGTTGGTGCCAAAATCGATCTTTGTGGAACGCCGGAATTGATGCCAATGGTATCATACGATACACCGTCCACCACCACGTGAAGCGATCTGCCTGAAAGAACGCTTAGCTGGCGGTCTCAGGACGGCTAGCTGGAGACTACCTTGCACTGATGAGAGCCAAAAGCTCGAAACCGGTCTGTAGGTGTCCTTGCGTTAACCTGGCTAAATCGAAATCAATTGGCATCAGGGGAATGAACACTTGGTCGCTTCGTTTATATAAATCGATGCATAGATTTCGGGAGGATGTAATTCAATATTCTGCGTGATAGTAGCCAAGAAAGTAGTTGTTCTTCTCCCGTTCATTTTATGAACATTTGTGAAAATTACTTCGAGTTTTTGTATTCATTTAACATTTCATTCCACTTGGAGCATTCTGAGTATTCCGTAGATGAATAATATGAATTACCTCAACGTAGATCGAAGGTACTGGTATCCTGACGAGCCTCCTGTTCCCAGCTGAGATGCACCAATCATCCTCTGTACCATCAACATGTGGTTATCTGAAGCCGAAAGTCAATCGTAAGCAGGAACCTTTTGATGTTGAATTCAATGATATCTAAGTTCACATCAAATTCAGATTGAGAAATCTAACCTCAAAAAAGTTATGTCTCAGATTATGACTCGGTATACGAACCGTGTAACTAGCGCCCGTTATCCATACAAAATTTCATCACAATGTTGCCATGTGTTAAAATAATAATTTTTTCAACACCTTATTGTTTCTTGGAAACGAATGCCGTTACATTTTTTTACTGAGTGAACTCAACTTATTTTGCAGTGTTCTACCTTCCCTAGCAAGTAGGTCAGGTTTTTTCGAAACACCATGTATAAAAACAATCAACAAACAGTTATTTGTTCCGCGGTTGAAAGTATATATGGTATGATACAAATGTGTGGAATAAATTCATTACAAAACCAGACGACTTTCGAACAAAATCAAAATAATAGAGTTCAGAACTTTTTTAATTGATGTATTCTTTTAACTAGACGACCCTTCAGATGTTCAATTATCAGTAGCAGACATCTGCAAGATACAGTTAATCAAATGATAATCCATTTAAATTTCAATCTTTTTATGCAAAATTTTCACTGTTGGATAGACGATCAGTATAGACCTTTCAAACGAGGTGCCACATGACCCTTGTTTATTTTTTTGAAAAAATCGTCTATTACGTCATTACTCCAACACCGGTGACGTATAACATCTCTCATATGAATATCATGAGATGAGGCTTCAAAAATCAAAACTCACGTGTTCTTGGAATTTCTTCAAATGTTTCTAAAATAATGAATTCATTTCATACATTTGCATCATACTGTATATAAATAAGAGCTCTTCAGTGTGAACTCTATTTCACCATACAACCTCGTGAATAAATTTAACAATGAATTGAACTATTGCTTTTCAGAGGACAGCACTTGGTCGATACCGTATACAGGGTGTATCTAAATAACATCGGAAAAATTCAAGGGGTGATTCCTAGTGATATTCTAGGAAATAAAGTTTATGTAAACATATGTCCCAACTTGCTTCGTTTTCGAGATACAGGGTATTATCATTTCTATGAAAAATCCTTTTCCTATTCATTTCTCAATTGTCTTTTCATCAATTTCAGTAAAATGTTGTGGTTTTATTAATAGTGAAATGGAGCTTCCTCTTATGCAATTAGATTCGAAATAATATTTTTAGTGGCGTCACAATGGGTGAATTTATCGATATTCATAGTGAAGGTCATTGTACTTTTTGAGTTCATAATCAGGCAGTATATCACATTTTTCTCTCCGATCGATATGTATTGTAATTCGATATAATATGGTTGAAAATATTACAAGAATTCTCGTGTATACGATCGTTTTCATAGGATTGAAATGGCTGCTATCATTCCTGCGTGTATCTTCTTTCTTTGGGCGTGAGGTATATAATCGAGCATCTATGGCGAAGTGGCTGCCAACTGCGGCTGCTGTCTTCACACAAATTTGTACACCACCGGTTTTTCATCTTTTCATCAGATTGAACTATTGAAATAACAATTTTTTTCTCCGATTGGCAGCAAATATTAATTTTGCTGACACATATCAATCAGCAAAGTATTACTTTTCCTGCCTAGGCAGCAAAGTGGTTACTTTGCTGATTGATATGTATCAGCAAAATTAATAATCCATGAATCGTTTATAATTTCCTTCATATTTCATTCGAGACTTCTCCGGCATCAAACTCAACTCTATATTTTCTACCACCTCCCTTATTTCTGGAGGTGTAAGTACTTCCAGGTCGCTATCACTGTCCATTATATAATAATTCAAATATACCGATATTTTTTCGCACAACTGTCAGAATTTTCATGAATTGTCTAACTATAATTATCATGGACAACTGCGATTCCTATCAAATTTCATTTCAATTGAACCCTACAGGAAAAATAAAGGGATTGTGGCAATTGTAATAATTTGCAATTACAATATCCTCCTATATCATTATGAACAATCGGAGAAAAAATTATATGTTCAACTCGGCAGCAAAGTAGATTGACTGCCTTAGCTGGATTCCTAGCCTCGCTACGATCGGCTATGAATTCAGCCTCGGCAGACAATCTACTACTTTACTGCCTAGTTGAACAAATAACTATTTCATCCTCTGAGTGATTTTTGTATCTAGCTTAGTTTTTGAGGAAACAATAATAATTCGATTTGACTCCAAATTTTACCACCTACATTAGGTTAGACTTCCATTGAGATTACTCAATAACCCCAATTAGAATCATTCTGAAATTTTGGGGCTTTCTCAGTCTCCATCCATACTGAATTTCGGCACCATGAAAGCTTTTACAGGGGGATTATAAATAAAAACAATAAATACTTCCAACTTCAATATTCTGTATCTCAAAAACGGAACAAGTTAGGACACATGTTTATATGAACTTTATTTGCTAGAATGTCACAAGGAAACACTCCTTGAATTTTTTCGGCGTTATTGAGATACACCCTGCATATGGATATAAAATCGGACACATCGTGAATTGACGGGATAGAAAACTTGTAACTACTCAGAAAAATGCATGAACTTAATGTATCCGATTGTATGCAGTATGAGCGAACGGGTTAAGAACCTGCTTGACGACCTCTCCCGTTGGACAATAAGTACACTCAGTTCCAAAAAAAGTGACGCACTTGATACTTGACCTATCTTCTTGAAAAAAATAGTAGGCCGATCCTTATTTTTTTCATTTGTTGGTAGGTAATGCATTTGTCTTAAAAAAAATGAAGAGGTGAAAATTTTTTCAAAGCCTCCTTGATGGTGGTGGAATAACTCGAACCATGATTTATTCTTAATTTTTGACTCATCCTGTGTGTTAATTGAGTGATGGAATAGAAAGTGGCTTCTTTTGCGAGCATTTTGTTTTTTTATTCATTGATTCATCTCTAGAATTCTCCGAATTACAGCTTTTTTGCTGAATCCTGGCAGATTACCAACTTTCTGAATTTATAGAGAAACAATTTTCTAATGAAATGAACTGATACCAATAATTTTACGGAACATTTTTATTAAACACAAAACTATCAGTTGGGATGACTGCTTAATACCGTGTATTGCCTCTTCTAGCAACTCTAAGAACTTTTAATCTACGAGGCAAATTGGAAATTAAGTTGCGTATCGTTTCCATTGGTATACGTTCCCATTCTTCCACTGATGCATCTGCCATTTCTGCGAGACTTTCCGGAGACCTCTCGCGAGAACGTACCCTTCTTCCTAATTCATCCCACAAATATTCTATAGGATTCATATCGGGGCTTCTCGCAGGCCATTGTAATGTGGTAATACAAGTAGCTTCTAAGAAGTTTCGCACTATTGCTGCGGTGTGTGGTCGTGCATTATCCTGCATCAATATAAAATTATTTCCCACTAACTCTGCATAAGGTAAGTCATTCTGCTCTAAAATATCAATGTAAATTTGGGCATTCATCGACTGCCTCACCGGAAAAACATGAAGGGGTGTCTTTCCATTCATTGAAATCCCTCCCCACACCATAATGGACCCACCATTGAAACTTTCGCATTATGTTATTGAATTTTTATCAAACCGTTCACCAGTTCTTCTTCAAACTCTTTTTCTCCCATCCACCATGTTGAGGCAAAACCTTGACTCATCCGTAAACAAGACATTCGATCATTCAGGAATATTCCACTGTCCATAATTTACAACCAAATTTCTTCTAGCATCACGATGTCCGGGCAATAATTTGGGACCTTTTGCAGGTCTCCTAGCTTTTAAATCAACTTCTTTTAGACGTCTACATACCGTCTGCTTACTAACTGCAACATCACGAATTCGGCGAAGATCTTGCTGAACATTTACCGCAGTATTTGATCGATTCCGTAAAATCCGCAATCTCAAGAAGCGATCATCTCTTGGAGAAGTTTTTCGGGGGCGACCAGAACCGACCCTCCGAGCGGTGCTTCCTGTTTGTTCGTACTTGCGGATTGCTCTACGAGCAGTTGCTTCATGAACTCCCACTGCACGAGCGGCGTAACGTTTATTTATTTTCGTCAATAAAACAAGACACCTAATTAATGACACAACGACAATTGGTCAAATATGGAGGCATACAACAAATTAGTTGCTATGGCAACTGCATTCGTTTCTTAAAAGAAAATGTGATCCTACCAGAGTACAAACCAATCAATTTTGAGTACTCTGATCCTTCAATGAATTGAATTTGTGGGATAAGCGTAAGGTATTAGAAAAAAAAGCTGTAATTCGGAAAATTATAGAGATAAATCAATGAATGAAAAAACAAAATGCTCGCAAAAGAAGCCTCTTTCGTATAGGGTGTAAGCACTTTCTATGCCATTACTCAATTAACACACAGGGTGAGTCAAAAATTAAGAATTAATCATGGTTCGAGTTATTCCACCACCATCAAGGAGGCTTTGAAAAAAATTTCACCTCTTCATTTTTTTTTTCAAAGACGAATGTATTACCTACCAACATAAAAAAAAATAAAAATCGGCCTACTGTTTTTTTTTTTTTTCAAGAAGAAACTGGAACTGAGTGTAGGTACTTGATGTTGGCATTTAGAAAATATTGAATGGGGTGATTATATTGATAGTCTAGTAATCACGATAAGTTAGTTACTTATCAGTGACCAACTTACATCTCCATTTTGTAATGAGCGAATCGATATCCATCAACAGAGTGAGAATTTGATGTGGCTGACTGAAACGTGGTTCATCTCGGTAGAATGTGATCATGATGGCACCCTGTAAGGCTTTATGAGAAAATCTCCGTTCGCCCCTCGAAACGAGTGCTTCGTGTATTTCAGATTTGAAAATTGATTCGTAAACTTCACGGCGTTTCTCCAATTCATTCAGTCGGTATTTCACAAGGGCCTCGGTCTTTTCTTCCTGAAAATGGTTTCATTGAAGATTAATTGATATTTTATTGGGATTCATTTTGTACGAATAGTTCACCAATTTTCTTTTTATTGATAGAAGGTTATCGCAAAATAATCGCAAGAAACATTGGTCGAAGAATTAGATATGGTTGGGATATAAGTTGATTTCTGAATGTTCGTAGTTTTCATATCCTGGATTATATGTATTTCGCCATTGTATGAAAAATTTGTGAACTTCGACAGTTAGTTAGGTGACAAGAATCGTGAAACATTCTGCACTAATTTTTTTTCGTACCCACCTCCGATAATTAGGTCGAAATCTTTGATGGTAAATAAATACTGAATAAGGCGTATCAATGTAGTTGCATGACCTTGCTGTAGTTATTCAGTTATTTTCCAGGATTGTTGTCATCAAGAGAGGTGAAATTTTGACTGATTCAACTTCCCATAATTTCCACCCTGATGTTTGAAATCCAATTGATCAAATGACTCATGCATCCTCAGGAAAAACAAAAGGTTTTTGAGTAATTGATGGAAAAAAGAATTTTTCTGAAACTTTCTGATACCAATGTATTGCGAAAACTAGGCAAGTTATTACAGATGCGTACAGGAAAACAAAATGTTACCAGTAAAATCATTCAAATATTTTCATAACCTGAACACTTTCGCTCACAATAATCTTTCTAGACCACATTCTATAAAGGAGCTCTGAAATATATTTGACAATTTCAAAGTTTCATGGTAGAAGGAAATGTTGAATGTAAAATATTCGAATTTCAGTCGAAATACCTCGAAAGAACTCACCTTTATCATTCCGTCAATCATTTTGTTTAAGAATGCTTCCATTTTATATTCAAATTCAGATTCAGATTTCAAATAATGGATTGAATGCAAGAGGGGAAGTATTCGTAACTGTCATGTCGTCGAGATTGTCGTCCTGTACATGAGTTTGCATCAAGAGCCCAACTTCATTGTGAATGATTGATCAAGCAAGATGTCTGACAAACGCTTATACAGAGGGGAACAATTCAGCAAAATATAAAATAACGATAAATAACCCATAGTAGGCTCGTCATATATTATTTTCATGACAGACTGACAGTTGTATTATTGGTAGTGAGTGCAGTCCTATGCGATGAACCTCGCAGCCACAAGCATAGTAGTTCAGTTAGACAATTATAAAGAAAAATCATATTGTACCAGAGTGGCTGTCTGATAGCGACAGCAGTATATCTTCCTTTGGCAGGAAATTCCCTTTCAGCAAAGTCGTTATTGCTATCATAGGATTTCAAGGTGCTGCTTCTATTCGAAAATATATAACGGTAATATGATTTCTTGTTATGGAAGCAAGAAATATCTCAGCAAAAACTCTGATAGCACAATTTTCCTCAGTGCACAGAAAAGTGGCCAACATTCACTGGAACCGCAAATCTCTATATCTAACAATAAGGGAGATATCCCTCAGGTCATCGAAAATGAAACAGACTGTACAAATTTCCCATTAGGAAAGTGATAGTGGAAATGTGGCTGAAAGAACCTGGAAAAATCAAGACCAACCGATTCCTCTCCTTGATTTCCACACAGAAGATATTTTATTGTGTGATTTTGTATAATATTTTGAATCGAAAATTGAAAGTCACATATACATTCCATTGTGCAAAGTGAGTCCACGAGCTGATAATCAGGGACTGCATTGAATAATTAGATTCAATATTCTGAGCTGGATAATAACTTGGTATCCAGATTTTGGAAAGATGGCAATTAAGTTTTCATGGTGCGATCCATATCCTTACTTACGTATGCTCGTTTTTTGTCTTGGTCCAAGAGAACTTCAACGGATTGTTGGTATTTGCCCCAAAAATTGAACCCTTCCATTTCCAATCCAGGGGTCCTCTCCAACCACAGCTGCACTAAATCGGTAAGGGATGGCTCACTCTCGGATTTGTCGATTTGGTCAATTGCGTCCTGAAATACACATCCTTCAATGGAATCTTCAACGATATTATCATTAGTTCAATAATATAATTCAGTTCTGCAAAAGGTATCGACCCCTCCTCAGCAATCATATTTCCAGGATTATTTTTCAATTTCTAAAGTGATGCAATCATGAAAAATGGAAATACTAGTATCTAGTTCGAATACTCCTAAGTCATGATAAGAAATCCTATTGAGTGGAGCTCTTCGTCGAAATATAAATGCACAATTAGTTTCATCATGAACCCAGATTCTGAACATTTTTCATTTTGTGTCAGTATAATCCAAAGGGTAGTGATGAAATGATTACACAATCCGGTGTGGACCTGGATTGGCCCAAAAATGTGTGGACCTGGAGTTGAAATCAACTCGAACTTTTCTACCGTATAGAATTCGTTACAGAGAAGTGAAGTTCATTGGGGAGAATAATTTTTTTCATGGTATATTAGTGGGTATGACCCAAAAACTATTTCAAGTTGAAACATATATCTCTCAGTAATAATGATAGGAATAGAAAGCGAAGATAAATCAACTTTTGGTATAGCATTCAGATGGATAGGAATATAATAACCTATTCATCGGTCACTATATCCATTTGTAATTTGAATGAACACGAATTATACAGGGTGACCTAGGGTTAAACCGCCAAACGTTTTGGGTCAGTTTTTGAGGCAAAAATGAAACGTTTTCTTCCTATAAGCATGTGTCCTAACTTGCTTCATCTTGGAGATAGGAGGGTGTCAAAGTTTTGATAAAGAATCAGTTCTTCATTAATTAATCAAAAACCTTTGGGCTGATTTTGATAAAACTTGGTATGCTCATTTGAGGTAATAAGGGGCTCCTGTTAACTGTTTGCTTAGGATGAAATTATCATTTCCAGTAGCGTCTCAGAGGGTAATCTATCTAATATTAGGATAAATCATTGTACTACGCCACGTTTTCCGTGAAATGTAATTTTCTCGCAGCTTTATACAAAAGCGCTATTGAATTTTTTCAAAAAAACCAATGTATACAAAAAGAATCGATGACTAAAAAATGTATTTTTGAAAGTTTAATTTTAAAAATGAACATACGAGTAAAACAGTGGCGTACAATGATTTATACTAATATAAGATAGATTACCCTCTGGGAGGCTATTGGAAATACTGATTTTATTCTAGGTGAACAGTAAACACGAACCCCTTATTACCTCAAATGAGCATGCCAAGTTTAAACATAATCAGCAAAAAGGTTTTTGAGTAATTAATGAAAAACTGATTTTTTTTTTAAACTTTGACACCCTATATCTCTCAAATGAAGCAAGTTAGGAAACATGCTTATGGAAAGAAGGAGTCTTATTTTTGCCTAAAAAACTGAGATTCTGATATTCAGGAGAAAATCCCTAATTAGATAAAATTTTCTATATTTCCAAGATTAAAAACATATACATATAAAGGTTCTTTAAATAATGGAGGTATCCGTTAAACCAAGAATGGAGGGGAGAAAATCCCAAGAAATCTGGAATAATGAATGTACCACCTCCTCGGTTAACCTACAGACAGTATTGTACTTTCTCCTTCAAAAAATCAATATCTTCCCATCAGTTCATGAAAGTATAGCAGTAATCCATTTTAGTTTGAATGAAGAAATTACCTCGTCATGACCAAATACTTTGGCATAATTTTTGTTATATTTGACCCTGTTCTCTTGACGAACTCCCAATTTGTTCTCCAATAACCTGAACTGCAAACTCTGGAATCCAGATGCTGGTCTGAGATGATTTCGGAATTCCATGAAGTCCAAGGGAGTCATAGTTTCTAGAATCATAACTTGGTCCACCAAAACCTGAAAATGAGATGATAAGAAGCATATATTACGCACGATTGGAAAAGTTACGCAAGCAGCCGCGTAATTGCTTTAAAACACGCATTACGTACAGGGTATCCCACATAACTTGGGCCACCCCCTTATCTGGTAAACTATTATATATACAGAAAAAAGTTTAGAATAAAAATTGTATAACTTCTTATGACATTTAATTTTTAGATATTGTCATTCATACAGGATGATCCATATGTCTGTGACATATCACAAATACGTTTTTTCAAATGGAACACCCTATATTTTATCATATTTTTAGATAGTACTTCAGAAGACGAGTTCAATGATATATAATAACATGGGTCTGAGATCACCCGTTTCGGATTTATACACGATCTTCTTCAATAAATTGTCCAATTTCAAAGCCCTATAGAAACGTTGTGAATGAAATTTTCGATTCGCAACTTTTGCTATGAATTAACAAAGCCTGTATATTATTTTGTTCTATGGTGAAAATTTAGGAATTTTGAATTTGCCAAAAGTGATGACGTATTTTGAAGACCAATAATTATCTCGAGATTTTCAAATGGAACACCCTATATTTTATTCCATATTTGCATATAACTCAGAAAGACGAGTTCAATGATCTATGATAACATGGGTCTGAGACCACCCGTTTCGGACTTATAGACGATCTTCTTTAATGAATAGTCAAACAAAAAAACTAACATTAACTGAGAAAACGAGTAAACATAACAACAGTAACAATTAGATATAGTATTCAATTGAATATACAGAGTAGTCATATAAAATTTTCTATATACCGTCCATTTTCAGCTATGCACGTAGTATATCTTATCGCGATATGTCTCAGTGTATTTGCTACTGCATGTGATTCATTCAAATTCACGTTGGCATGTCATTCCACTTTGAGTTTTGGTTTTCTCTTCGATCATTTACTTATGTCCAGTGTTTATTCATTGAGAATTCAATGAAAAATGTTGAACAGTATGAAAGATATACGATTTTTATGAGGAAATGAGATTTATTGCAATGAATGCATCCGAATTGATAAGGCAGACAATAAAAAAAAATGTTCAAATACATTTTATTAATTGAATATTCCAGCATTGGTCTCGTATAGAGTCAAATGTAGGTGAAATTTGATTGTGATAATCTGTGCTCAATCATTTCCAAAAGGTTTTCTAGTGAAATAATATAGTATAACATTACATAAAAATTTCGATAATATTCGTTGTTTTCAAAACTCTTTATTACGAATTGTTTCACAGAAATTACAAAATTTGTATCTAATATGAAGATAACAGTCAGAATTTTGCAATTGAAATTTGATTATTTTTTCAAGAAGATCGTGTATAAGTCCGAAACGGGTGATCTCAGACCCATATTATAATATATCATTGAACTCGTCATTCTGAGCTTCATCCAAAGATGGAATGAAATAGGGTGGTGGAACTGCGAATCGAAAACTTCATTCACAACGTTTCTATAGGGCTTTGAAATTGGGCAATTTATTGAAGAAGATCGTGTGTAAGTCCGAAACGGGTGATATCAGACACATTTCATGATATATCATTGAACTCGTCTTCCTGAGCTCTATGCAAATTTGGAATGGAATAATAGGGTGTTCCATTTGAAAATATCGAGATATTTATTGGTTTTCAAAATACGTCATCACTTTTGGCAGATTGAAAATTCCTAAATTGTCACCATAGAACAGAATAATATACAGACTTTGTTAATTTATAGCAAAAGTTGCGAATCGAAAACTTCATTCACAACGTTTCTTAAGGGCTTTGAAATTGGACAATTTATTGAAGAAGATCGTGTATAAATCCGAAACGGGTGATCTCAGATCCATGTTATTATATATCATTGAACTCGTCTTCTGAAGTACTATCTAAAAATATGATGAAATATAGGGTGTTCCATTTGAAAAACCGTATATGTGATATGTCACAGACATATGGATCATCCTGTATGAATGACAGTATCTTAAAATTGAATGTCATAAGAAGTAATACAATTTTTATCCTGAACTTTTTTCTGTATATATAATAGTTTACCAGATAAGGGGGTGGCCCAAGTTATGTGGGATACCCTGTACTATATACTTCACCTACTGCCATATAGTACATCGAAAAAGTTTGGACAAACAGTCTGAATTATAATTCTTGACAGTTATGTCATCCGCTGTTCACGGCGATTACGCGAAAACTGTGCGATGTGCTTACTGTGCGTGAAGACTGTATCTCGTGTGTTCTTGCCTACTTTCTAAAGTGGCCCTAGGTAATAGTATATTATGTAGCAAGTGTCATAAACGTCATTGTAGTAACGAGTATAATAAACTAATTTGTCTGAATTTTGGGAAAGTTCACGAAGAAAAGTTGTTTCTATATTCCAATTCTTCACATGTATCTCGAATTTGAAGGTTATTCTTCTGCAACTTTCAGTTCTTGATATTTTTGCAAATTTTTACGAAATATCTGTACTTACTTACCCAAAATTAAAAGAAATTCAACACCGACAAAAACTGTTTCATAGCAGTAGCGTCGTCATGCTACTAATTTTCAGTTACTAATCATTGACAAAAATATGATTTTCTTCAGAAAATAATGATCCCCGATTCAAGGAGCCAAATTTGTTTCAATGGATTTTCTCAGTATATATACCTACAAAAATGATGCTAAAGTCATCAGAATGTCATCAAACTACTTCACGGATCTAACGAGAGTTCAGGATAGTTTTGTCGAAGTAACAATTAGAAGAAAATCGTTCAACTTCGAAACACATGTGTAAAATTTCAATTGAAATACTATTTTTCAGTGAACCTTTTCTAAATTCACACAAATGTGCCTATTATCAGCGACTAACTCGAACAAATTAGATTTTTGTCATGTGGCGTTAGTCACGTGACTCCGACCGAGTCGAATTACGAAGAGTTATTCATGTATCAAGACCGATAGCAAAGTATCCGTCTCGAGGGTTTCTGGTCGGAGGGAGAGCAATTTCCTGAGGTTATTAAGGCTCAATTATTCCCGTAAGACCTAGATGATTTTATTTTTAACTATTTCATTCATAACCTACCCTATATTTGAATCAGGAATAGTTCTTTTCAAGATCTAAGAAACTGACCTATCCTAAGATGGGATAATGACATGCGATAAAGTCATAAAAGTATTAGCCGTGACAGGGTCGTTTTCATCTTGTTGTTGGCTTGACAGATCCTGGAATACTGCTAGTTATCAAGTTTTGCAGTGATAGTGTGTTTGTGTTTGAAGATGTCCAGTGGAGAAGCCGTTTCAGGCAGTAGCAGAATTTGTTTGCCTGTTGTAGCAAGAATAATTATTTGAAGTCTTTATTAATTAAAGGTAGTAGAGCGAGGCTACGAAAAACAGTTTTCATGAAAGGAAACATCAACTTCAACCGGTGTTTCTAAAAGTACAGTACCTATTTGATTAATCACCCTGTATGTTATTATTTCGTTGAATTCGCTATTTTTTCTCCTCGAAATGAACGTTTTAAAGAAGAAAACGATGTAGGAATCAGTATGTATACCAACCTTCAGTATGAGTACCACCCTATTCAATCTCCTCAGAATTTCCAGAGTCTGTGATTCTTCTAAAACTTCACTGAAGACGTTCCGTATAGAGTCGAGTTCCCAAATGATTTGCTTAAACCAAAGTTCATATGCTGTAATAGATCAAACATCAATATCACGTCAATAATTATAGCAAGACGCATTTTTCAGTGCAAATATCCCATGAAAATTAGATGAAACAGTTTTTTTTCTACGGCTATAACACAACATTGCTCTTGTTTTTTTTTTATCGCTTGGAGCGCACGAAAGGGAATCCCTATAATGTTCAAAGAACATCGTGCGTTCCTAGGGAGGATAGGGACAGGAGGTAGGTATTGGAATTTTTTTTGAACTTTTGGAGATTATATGTTGTTGAGAATACTTCCACAGGCAATGAATTCCAGAGCCTAGCCGTTCTATGGATGAAGGAGTCTTGATAAAGTGCTGTTCGACATCTTTCGAGGTTGACAACGAAAGGATGTGCTGACTGGGCTTGTCTAGTTCGTCTGATTGGTATTGCTAGTGAAGGGATGATGGTTTAATGTATTCGATACTTCAATGAGGTACTTTGTATGTCATCAATTTTATTTCCGTATCTGATATCACAATGTCTCCCCTGTGTTTTTATTTCAAACAAAACTCATCGCCCATGGAATGTCAAATTTCAAGCAATGACAGCTCTTTCTAATAGATGAACATTACTAGACAGAAAATCAGATGGCTACAAGACGAAGAAATCGAAAATGCCACTGTTGTCTATTATAGCCGTAGAAAATTTATAGTGCATAACTTGCACGGAATGCTAATTTCCTACTCGAATGATTGGAGCATTCGCCTATGGCTCATGCTGCAAACTTCATTCTCAGAGGAAATCACTATCATACCGTGCTCGTTAAAGAATATACTATTATAAAATCAATATTTATGATAGAATCGATCCTATGCAACCATGGTCCTTATAAGTATCTTTCTTCTTCCTGCTTTTCAGCTTAGGATATTCGTTCCAAGAAGAACTCATATATTTCCTGTCATTGAACCCACCATTTTTTTTTTTTGAGGAATGAAGGAAACCTCGAAGTATATGTTATCGAATATTGTTCAATGAGCACGAAATGACAGTCAATTGCCACGAATATGGAGTTATCGGTATTTGTTATTGGCAACCCCATTTTCGAGAGTACAGATTTTAACGGACGCACTGTATACAATCCCGATGTATGATATTATTTCGAATCCAGTTTCTCATGGAGATTTCAAAAATTGAATGATGTATAGAGTGTTCGGTTTGAAGAAATTGTCGCGGACGTCATAACTCAAATTTGACAAATCCTACAGAAAAATCGACATACTTCAGAGGATTCCGAATGAATGGATAGTTTGGCTGAAAATGAATATAATAGAGAGTTGAAGTAATCACTGTACGTAGACCTCCACGTAGACGTTAACGTGCGGAAAATAACGTTTACGTATTGTCGTTAAATTGAGTTGAAGTCGCCACTTTGGTCGTCACTGTCATCATAACGTAATAATACATTTTGTTTTCGGTTTGTATTGGTCATTTTTGGTTGTGTGTTTAGATTCGAACATTTATTCCTGTCAAAATTAGAGGACTCCTTGATGCAGAACTCGTTGGTGATCTCGAATTTGATAATTTTGACTCATCGGCATATTTCGAGTATAGTTTGGTTAACGTACGTTGATATTTAAGGTATACGTGAAGGAACGTGAGATAACGTACACCCGTAAGCCCACTAACAACGCAAACGTGTAGAATTGGAAAATGCGCATGCGTAGCTGTCAATTTCTACGTTTACGTTAACGTTCATGACAACACTTCAACTCTCTATTATTATCCACTACTTTACGCGAGTTCTTTATTCAACGGACGCATTGTATACAAACCCTATGTATATTGAATTTTCGAATGTAGCTTCCATGGACATTCTATGAATTGAATAATATATAGGGTGTTTCATTTGAAAAATGTTTCGTGAACGTCATAACTCAAACGTGGATCACCCGGTATATATATTTTTTTCATAAATGTGGCAATACAGAAATCAAAATTGACTTTTTTCATGAGATTCTACAAAATTTGGTAGTTTGGCTACAAATAAATATACAGGGTGTCCAGAAATGATGCGCAAAAAATCAAGGGGTTGATTCGGCATGACAAAACTTGAAATTTATTTCATATACACGTGGGTCCGGAAATGCATAGCTTTCAAGATAGAGTGTGTTAAACATTTTAGAAAAAAATCGGTTATTTATGAATATCTCAAATATTCTTCCACCGATTCTCTTGAAATTTAGCAATGATATTCTTTGTCATGAGGGGCTGATTTATCCATGATTGCCGTGGGCACCCTACCGAATGTTATTGTCACTGATTTTTTAAAATTCTTTATCTTCATATCCTATTGATAAACTGAAAATACAACATTTTGGTCTCCTGAATTGTTTTGATATTTTGCTTCGTTTCCGTGAAAAAAAAACAATTTATTGTATACATTTGTGCAAAATATTACTTCGAAAACAGGGGTGAAATTAAATGTGTGATTCATGTCAATAGACGTGGAATGAGAATGAAGATTCATTTTCCTCAAATATTTTATGTTTGACACACTTTGTTTTATCGAAAACTACGCCTTCCTGGACCAAGAATGAAAATGAATCTTTATACTTATTCTATGTCTATGGACATTGATCATGCAATTATGCAATGAATTGGTATATTTATTTTTTGTTCCATGGAAATGAAGCAGATTATCAAAACAATTCAAGAAACCAAAATGTTGTATTCTTAGTTGGTCAATAGGTTATGAAGTTATAGAATTCAAAAAAATCAGTGGCGCACATATTATTGACAAAAATATTCGGTAGGTTGCCCCCCGGGACGCCACTGGATTTTATAATCCCAATTGAATTATGCCTATATCAGCTCCTCATGACGAAAAATATCATTGCAAAATTCCAAGAAAATCGGTGGAAGGACATTTGTGATATCTATTAATAAAAAACCGATCTTTTTCAAAAGTTTTAACACACTTTGTGTTGAAAACTATATGCATTTCCGGACCCACGTACATATACAATGAATTTCTTATTTTATCATGTAGAATTACCTCCTTGATTTTTTGCACATAATTTCCGGACACCCTGTATACAGTACTTTACGCGAAAGCAGTGTATGATAGCAAAATGATGCAACAACAGTAATAACATTAAATCAATAATTAAAGTCATTCAAAAACATTCCGTGGGAGACGCGATTCTACAATTGTCATAAATTTTTTCATCAGCTGATGTAATAGAATTGAAAACATACAATGTACCTCATTGTTTCATCTAAAACAGTTGAGAAAGAGCAGTTTTATGTTATAGTCGTTGACACAATATTTTTCAAATAATATTCTGTGGAAGTATGTACCTTGATGAGTGATTATGAATAGATGCTCGTCGTGTACTGGAGCATTATTTTCATGGCCAAGTGGCCTCTGTGCACCCAAAATTTTGTCCAACATGAGATACTCTGCATACAGCATCCCAGCTTCGTCACCAAGCTGTTCTCCATCCTGTGCAGGGTCACTAAAATATTCTAGGTCATGGAAATTGCATAAAAGTTTGTTTTTCTGCAACCGACACAAAAGTGTCAATTGTTCTATACCAAAATTAGCTCTTGAATTGACGTTTCTATTACTGACACAAAAATAGGTATCTTGCTAGACAACATATTTAGTTCCTAGGAGCTTAAGTTGAACTCAAGATAAATCTGATGAAACTCTAGAATATCATTGTAATGATACACTTCAAGATTGACAATCGATTTTGGATCAGGTTCCGCAGAAGTCCCAAAATTGAATATCAAATATGTAAATGAAAATTCATCAGAACAATCTTCTGTAAATCACTTTGTTCGAATTTGGACAATACTTTGAATTGGAAAATCGATTGTGATAGCTTGACTCGAACCTTGTCTTCGTAAAATGTCCTTATGAAGAATTTGCGAGGAATTTTTACAATAGTCAACAATCAATGATGGTGTATTACGACCAAGATGAATCCGATACAATGTACTATTGTCTGAAAGGAAAATCTAGTAGAATCTAGAATATCTTTCGTTAGGTCGATCGAAATTAATATGCAATGTAGAAAACTTCAAAATTAATTTATTCCACAAGAATTCCACTTGAAGAACCTGCTTTTTCAGCGTAACATGTCGTGTTATTAGAAATTTAGTGAAAAACGGATCGTTTGTGAAGATTTCAACAATATTACATTATTCTGACATGAGTTCCTAGGAAGCACTCATTATACGTTTTATCGAGATCTTTTCAAAATACTCATTCGGTCCTAGACATTCAGATCATGCTCTACATGATCAAGATCTATTCAAAATATTCCTTCCTGTCCTAGCAATTAGAAAAAGGATTCAATGTGATGATGAAGGTGATGTTCATTCAAGATTCAATTGAGAATTTGTTGATGGATAAATCGTACCAATATTTTGCGCTTCTTTTGAATAACCTGACAAAACATCATCAGCGAATCATTATTTATTTATCATCTCCAAGTAACGATAATCTGACGAAATAATATGTTATCATTCATTCTTTAGGTATCAGTTCACAAAATTTGATGAAATATCTTAACAGTTTAAGTCAAGAGGTCATCTCGAATTTCATGGTTTCCTCATAGATTGACTATATAGGAAAGCATGATGTGAATAATAAATAATTACGAAATTTATTGTTTATATTCATTGAGTGAGACAAACAACTGTTGAAAATTTCCCAGCAAGAGTCAAGAAAGTAAACCTATCACGAATCCCTCAAACCAATACGAATCGATACTAACCCCATCAGGTTTTTTGAGAACATTCAAGTGAAACCCTGTATAAATTTTGATATTTTTGTGAGCGAATGGAATGTTATATCTGTTTTCTACCATATAATAATGAACAACTGCTTGCATGAGTCTTTTAACATAACTCGTTTGATGAAAACAAGTTAATAATGTATTTATATATATCACTATACACCAGCAACAAAATAATATTCGAAAAAATTACATTTTCAGCAAAGTGTCAAGAAATCACATAGTTTTGGCAAGTTCGGAGAATGTTTTCTCTTGTATGAATGTTCTTATCTTCCCTGTAGAAATGAAATCTAAACCAAATCGTGCAGGTCGATGCGCTGAAGCCTTATTAGAAGCATTATTTTACTCCTCAAATATTCACGATTATGTAACATCTCAGTCGCATTTCCTATTTACAACTCTTAACGTGGAAAAAAGAGAAAATGTTAGTATATCAGGACAGATGTCAGTAATACTGGAAAGTAACAGCGTCTTCAATTCTTTAGTTTTTTATATACTATTCATGAAAAATTCCAAAATCGGTACGAATACATTTTGACGAAAGATTCAACACCAGAGCTAAATAAACAAAATAAATCAAGCCACTGTCGAACCAATAATGGAAATCCACCTTAAACTGTATGTCATGTTGAGAAATCGTACCAATTTTTTTGGAGAATCTAATAATCTAGGTATTAAATACAGTTAATATATTATAGTTGAAGTTAACGCTCGATTCATCAGTTAAATTTATGCACAATCATCATGAGCTCAAGATCATTTCAATAGAACAATATGAAAGAAATTGGACTTTTAATAGAATAGCATCGTTCCTATTCTTTTGATACGTGTCTTCAGTACCTGTCAATCTGAATCCAGATAATTTAGAGCACATCTATCATTCCCGAATTTGCAATTTGAAAAGATATATAATTGGCCCTCAAAATCTGATTTAAAACCAGACTTTGTGCCAAGGGGTGCGAAAAAATGGGTACTTGCTAGGATAGACAACAATCTCACACAAAATAATTCAAATTGAAATGAAAATTCTCAACATATCTAATTTGCCGAATATTCTTTACAAAATGATAGGTAATTACTACTTGAAAGCACTAACATTTCTAAATATTCAGTTACTTACATCGACTTAATGGGACAACTCATAACTATATATGTTTTTGTGTTCCTTATTTTACTTTTGATCACTGACTGAATACTAAATAGAAGCAAGCGTGGACATTCTCTCTCTATCTCTCTCTGAGTATATCTAATCAACTTGACGTAATATGTGATAGAAAAATAGTCCCTATATCTTTCAAAATATCGAATAACTGTATTATCCTACTTGTATTACCACCTATATTTGATCGTGTCATACAAGGTGTCCCTCGTTTAGCTGAACAAAACGATAGTATGTAATTTCGAAGAAAACCATTTCGATGAAGAAGTCAATAAAGTTGGTAACTATTTTTTATAGCTCAATGTGCTGAAGTAGTGTTATTGAGGAAGATAAAAAGACCAAAATCATCTCGATATTCGATCATTCATTCATTTAATAATGCGATTCAGATACGGGACAGGTTTTGGGCCCGAAAAGAATCCATCATCAGCCTATAAATATAAAATATAAAGAAGTCCCCCAATGGAAAGCAATTATAAGCTACAGAAATGGATGGAAGGTATGTACTACTCAAATGTAGATACAAAAATTAAGTGTCAAGTAATCAGAATATGTATTGTTTTGAAAACAAGCGAACAAAATAAAAGATAAAAATGATGTTATTATCTGTCAGTGCATAGGTATGATTGTCATTAAGAAGGTCCTATATTCTTCAGAAAAATAGCTCCGTATTGGAACAGTTAGGAAACGCGTGATTTTACGTAATGATGAAATTTTGCTGAATCTGCGTAGCGAGAATTAAACAAAATATCCTAACAGATTTGTATACCGGGTGGCTACGGAAGTATTGCCTACGGAATATCTCAGTTATTGTATGAAGTAGGTTTGTGAAATATTAAGCGTCGATATAATGACATAAGAGCTAGAATTTGGGCATATTGACATGTCGAAGTTAACTTCCGGTCTGACCGGAAGTAACATCAACTTTCTTATTTTGAATGGAAACCCTATTTTTTTTTTCTTTTCGCTTTATTCAGCATCCAATTCCCTTTCTAATGACATATCACAAGTTGGTATCTAACCAGAAACTAGATCAGAAAAAAATTATTATTGAAATTCACCGAGTAGGCCGTGGAAGCAAAATGAAAGCCAAAAATTGAAAAGTTGGCTATGGAAACCATACGTCACTTGATAACAGTTGCTACTACTGTTAAACAGTTGTATGTTCCTATTCAAGTTATGGACCTACATAGTGTTGTTTTTTCCCAATTTTTCCAATTTTTTTTTGTTGGCTTTTTATAACGCCGACGAATGAAAATAAAATATCACAGTAGTAGCAACTGTTATCAAGTGACGTATGGTTTCCATAGCCAACCTTTCAATTTTTGGCTTTCATTTTGCTTCCACGGCCTACTCGGTGAATTTCAATAATAATTTTTTTCTGATCTAGGTTCTGGTTAGATACCAACTTGTGATATGTCATTAGAAAGGGAATTGAATGCTGAATAAAGCGAAAAGAAAAAAAATAGGGTTTCCATTTAAAATAAGAAAGTTGATGTTACTTCCGGTCAGACCGGAAGTTAACTTCGACATGCCAATATGCCCGAATTCTAGCTCTTATGTCATTATATCGACGCTTAAAATTTCACAAACCTACTTCATACAATAACTGAGATATTCCGTATGCAATACTTCCGTAGCCACCCGGTATATCCAATATAATAATATATAAATATTTTTTATGTGTTTTGGACTCAGTAAATTTCGAAAATCGACACTTCCTACGTCATAATCAGAGAGATGAATTATTTGGAATACTTCATCTATTCTGATATTATAAATAGGAGAGGTTCGTTTGTTTGTTTGTTTGTATCGAATAGGCTAGATTGAAAATAGGTGTAAGTATACAAGGCGGCTGATATGTATATGGACCATATACGTATTAATAAACAATACGGATCATAACGGGTGCCAGGATCAAGCCAAAAATATGAAACAAATAAATATCCATAAGGATTTGGTGGCATGATACGTAGTCATCAAAGACATGCGTTTCGGTGGACAATGACGTTTACTAGCCTTTCAATCAAAGCAGTATGTGTCTGATCGTATCTCACTTTTCCTTATGGATAGTCATTTGTCTTCAAAAATTACACCACAAGATGGATATGATTAAAAATATCCACTACTTGTACTTCGTCATCTGTCACCGTATACTTATTTGATCATTGAAATTTCAATAAGCTCAGTATCAGTTAGGTGAACGTTTCATTTTCGCGAGAAAATTTTTTACACTAAATGTATTTTTGACATGTGCTGTCAAGATCATCACTGTTAAGCAAAAGAACGACGCAGCGTTGTTATGGAGCAGGAAACTTTCAAAGGTAATTTGATGGACTATGAACTTAATGCACCACAACATTCTTGACTAATTTATTAGCAACGTTATTTCCAAAATTCGATAAATCGAAAACGGTCGAAAATGGGGGATGATGTGCTTTATCCATTTTGTTCTGAATTTTGAGCAGAATGGAAATATGGAATAATATGTAGGGTGTTTCATTCAACAAAAAGCAACTCTATTTCTTGAAGATATTTTTACTGATACTGTATACATAATTTCTATTTAGTGTGATAGATTTTGAAAAATCCTCAACTTTTGTATGTTTATATTTTTCTTACTTCGAGAGATAATAGACTGTTTCCATACATATCAGCGACCTTGTATAATAGTAGCTATATGTAAGATCGAAAAATTTGAAGAAATATCAAAAAATCTGTACTGTTGATACGCGCGTATAGCAACAAATGTCTTATTTGTTTAAATAAGTACACTAACCGTGCGAACCATTATCGTAGGCTCCCCTGTAAGTACTTTAAATAGATCAGATGTGAGTATTCCACCTCAATTTCTTGTTCATTTATGTGTTACATGAAATGTATATGATGTAGAAAAACCACAAAATATACGGTAGACGAGGTACAACTGTAAAAGGTATGGGAAAATCTCAATGAGATTATTGACAAGCAATTACGTAACATAGGTAAATGTTTAATAGTAGAATGTTCATAGGGCTACCTAGAGAATGAATAGTACAGTGGCTCATTCTCTATCTCACCATATGGTGAATTCTTATTCCTGTAGTATGTCTGAAATCGATAGAATCAGGTTTTTGAATAAAGGACCATTAAATCGCACAGGTAGAAGTCCATCGTTTCCCAAAGTGGAGTACAGTGGTTGAGACTGAATTATACACAGAGTCATCTCCACGACAATTTATTATGAAAACATGTTCCTTTTTGATTTGATTATTCACAATGAACCCGTGAGTTTTCACAATAATTTGTCGTGGAGATGACTTTGTGAATTATTCAGTACTATAGAACATTTTGTAAGTTACAGTACTCATGATGAATCAAAAGAATCATACAATGCCAAATTAAGATCAAAACTCATAGATTGTACCAATTGCTTCCATTCGTTTTGGTCTCTAGCTTAAGCTTTCGGAAGAAATTTCATTAATAATTCATTCTCACCACAATCCTAAGCCGACGGGACATCAGCAACGACATCGCAAGAGAAAGCAAACATTTTTGCAGGGATGTTCGCAGCAAACTATGTGCCACATGAATGGTTATATCGTAAATAAGATTTTTTGAATTTTTATTTTCGAATATTTTCGCATTATACGTCTATTCGGCTTCCTCCTTTTTTCCTGAAGTAGGCACAGTTTTGCTATGCTCGCTCATCATCACAGGACAAATTTTCGTCAAAATCAGACAACTAATTCAAATTTCACGTATGTGCCATTTTTGTAACTTTACAACTGATGAGGATAATTTTGAAGAAACTTCTTGAATCAGTCTTAACTCTTCACTCTAGTCATATAGAGGATGATTAATATCATTACGGTCCATAACGTTTCTGTTTATATTCAGTTCCGATTCCATATTTATTGTATCCTATTTTTTTTAAATACAATTCGAAGAAATATGGACTATATTTTGATCAGGAAGAAAATTCCTTTTCGACCATTCTCCGTGATTTCTTCTTAGAACATTATCATTTTTTCATTCCAATCACGATAGAGCGTCATTGAAAATATCTCCTGTGCCTCTGCTCATCGTGAAATTTAAATAAATGGTAGGTAATATGAGTCAAAAGAACGGTTTCAATCAGTCACTCAGTATTAGTCGCTACTGAAATAAAGACAATATCTTTCACTGCCTACTGAAATTCGATATAAAACAGTAGTCAATATTTGGGAAACCATCTAAATATCGGAAACACTTATTGGTGTTACTACCTTGGGATGAAATTCGATCCACCAGGGTCCCGTTAAATTACTATACGCTCTAGTTGGATTTTCAAGTTGTGAAATGATTTGATTAATTCTCAAAAACGTTAGCGTATTTAGGTAATGCTATTAGTACCTATAGTATACTACCCAAGTTAACACCGTAGAAAAGTTGGCGATCTGGCTATTTTATAAATATTTTCATGGACGATTCTCTTCTGAAATATCAACAATTGTTCCTCCCTTGGCAGTCCCCGCGAGATTAATCCGTCGAGTTGAGGCTTCGCACCCCTTCGTGGTCACTCTGGAGACCTGCAGAACATCTCTTTCCAAAGACTCGTTCATCCAACGAACAGCGAGGCTCTGGAACACATTGACAAGGGAGGTGTTCCCAGAGGCATATTACCTCCAGAACCTCAAGAAGAACACCAATTCCTACTTCATTTCCCTTCGTTCTCACGATGATCTCTAAACATTACAGGATATTCCTTTTCGTGGGAACCAGAACATAAAAAAAAGATTGATGCCAGAGAGATATAAGAGGGCATCACATTCATGCCACACATTACATCCGTGACCCGAAATGAGCGAGTCCCACTGAAATCAAAATGACTGATGCTTTCCCGGACCCTTTTGGCAATTCTATGATTCACATTATGATGGCGAATAAAACTCACTCCGACTCCATATTCAACATCAAAATTGATTGATGCGGTTTATTTTACATAAATGAGTCTCTTGGTTGTTAGGGAGCCTCTCAAATTCACCTATATTTTGAGTATAAAATCCAATGAAATGTGAGGAATATTGCGAATGTTTTCTGAAATTGAGAGTCCTCTGGCAATACCAATGAATACCTAGCGGGACATGAATGTGACATCCCAGGGTTATTTTTGTTTACTGGGACAATTGATTAACAAAATCACAAAATAATATGTTATTCAAACTGACGTCACTAATTTCACGAATTAATCACGCAATTTTGAGCAAATTAAACAAGATCAATCATGGTCTCCGAGAAATTCCATTTTTTTTATCCCTTGGTGCGCACGAAATTAAGTCCTTGTGATATTCGAAGATCATCGTGCGAACCAATATAGGGAGGATAGCAAAAGGCGGTAGGTGTAGGAATTTTTTTGAACTTTTGGAGATTATAAGTTCTTGGAAATACTTCCTCAGGCAATGAATTCCAGAGCTTTGCCGTTCTATAGAGAAACGAGTTTTGATAAAGTGCTGTTCGACATATTTCGGGGTTGACAACGAAATCCTTTGTTGTAGTCATAGACTAAATTTACATTTTACATTTTGAGGTTACCACAGTTATTGGATAATGTCTATAATGGGTTGCGTGCAAGAACTTTCAGATGACCGACACTGGAGGCAAAACATTGAAACACAATGTCACTTTTCTTATTTATTTACAAGTGATCGAAATAGTTTTTCACAATTATTTTGGCACACGAATCGTATTTTTCCGCTATCCATCAATTCGCTCATGCCATCACATATTGTGCTGTTGTAAAATGCACAAAAACTGCAGCGGAAGATGAAGGAATCCGGATGGTACATTATGAATTAAAAGTAAGTACCTACTATAGTCACTCGCCTATAGTTTTCATTTTTGAAATTTGGTAATTTTCCTGATTTCTCATCGGAATTCTTTCTGCGATATGAGCTAATAGAAATACACCTGAAATTTCTAAAATAATGCATGAAGATTGGATTCATGCAATCAATCGGGAGGACTGGTCTGACATGCTGACGATCGTGTGTGTTGTAGACATTTTCAATCTATTAGCAGTATTAGCTTGTATTGCAGGAGTGGCAGAAGGCAGAAGGAATTTTAAAAAGGGATGACAACATTTCATAATGATAACCATGTGAGATTACTATTCACCTGAAAAATCATATTCCTTAGTCTCTTGCTGCATTTTTTGTGCATTGTACAACAGCACAATGCGAAGGCATGCTTGAATTAAAGAATAGCGCAAAAAACACGATTCGTATGCCAAAATATTGTGAAAAACTATTTCAATCCTTTGATTCCTCTGTAACCAAATGAAAAAGTGAGGTTGTGTTTCAATAATTTACAGAAGAATGAGGTTGTGTTTCAATATTTTGCCTCCAGGGTCGGTCTTCGTGCACGCGACCTATAATACACTAAATAGTTGAATAAGTACAATTGTCACATATAAACATACTTGTCACATATACATATTAAAATTGAAATTATAAAAAACATAGACAGATAGTGGCTACTGGGTTTTTTATTGATTGTAAAGGTATGATTTCAATTCCTATAAGAGAGCTAGAGATGTTATGCTTTTAATGTCTTGTGGGAGATTGTTGAAACTGTCAAGCCCTTAAAAAAAAATTAATTTCGGGTTTGCGTTAATATCCAACTTGTTGAATGTGGAGATCAGTTCTTCTTCTAGTGTTGTATCCGTGGGTTTGCTCATTATATTTGACTTTCGTTAATATCCAACTTGTTGAATGTGGAGATCAGTTCTTCTTCTAGTGTTGTATCCGTGGGTTTGCTCATTATATTTGACTTTCTCTTGTGAATAGGTCGGCGCAATTTTATGTCTTATTTTCAATATTAGGATCAATAATGTTCGGTTAAAAAGAGGAGATTTCATTGATAGCCATTCCAGTTGCTTCAACATACCACTTATAGGTGTTAGTCTTCCACTATTCAAAATAATGAATGTGCTGACCGACCTTTTCACGGTGTTCCAGTGATGTCAAAGTGTTAGTGAGTGTGGCATCACCCAGCAGGCGAATGACTCTGGATGAAATCTAAAAGCATCAGAGTATGTGGGAACAGTATTCTAGAACAGGCCGTATTTGTGCTTTGTGAATCATGAAAATAGGCTTTTGAGGTGTAAAGTAGCTTTTCGCACGGAATAAAAATCAGTGTTTTGTGAAATGATCCTCCCAAGAAGAATTATCGCTGATGGAGACACCGAGCATAGAAATAGTTGACTTGGTGAGAATGGTGGTACCAGACATTGTTATATCAGGCATACTGTTTTCCGCGCCTTCATATCTATTTGCTTAGTTGGTGGGGTTGAATAAAAACATCATCAACATGATAATATAGAATTATATTTCTGCACTGAAATCAACGAGAGCCTACCTACTACCTTAACAAATACAATTCAACTACTTACTTTCAACAAAGTGATTCTAAATACATCTGAAGCCATATTCATTCAGACATATAGCAGATACCATTATGTTATGTTTAGTTCAGTGAATCTTCACTTCGAACATCAATTTAATCGTTTTTCAGATTCAAGTCTTAAAATCTGAATCTGAAACCAAAGTAAAATCAAAACCACAACTAATTTTTACTTCGGGACTGGTCCATAATAGTTACTCATGTACCAAGTGCGTTATGTGAATACTAACGCCCGGAGGATAACATTCACCTAAGGGCTTTCGGCCCGAGGGATGAATGCTGCCCCATGGGCGTTAGGATCTAGTAATGCTCGTGGTGCATACAAGATTTTATTTTTCACGAAAAAAATATCCTAATATAATGAAAAACCGATTTTGAAATGCGGTTCAATGCTCCTAGCATTTTCTTTCCAGTTTTCTTGTCATATATTTATTTGATGTCTCTCGAAAGTATTAGGATCATTTTGTCATAGTTTTCATTTTGGTTTCAGCAGAAATACTACAGGTAACTACTCATTCAAAATTTTTGCAAGAATGATGAGCCTGTTTCAAACAACCCACGGTACATCATTTTGTACTGAAGATATACAAGCTTGTCATAAGCATCGTTATGGTTTTGTTTCAAGATTCAACAACAAGGCACCATTCGATTGAAGTAAACTTCACATATACATAATCAGAACTCAATAAAGCTCAATTTCACATCGATAAATATGACAATCCTCATTATACCTTCAACATTTTGTAACATCTATTGATAAATTCAGATCTGAGCTGAGTTTGTTGCATTTCTGTTACATCCCTCGAATGTTCATCTATATACACAATCAACCAAACTATCATCAGGGGAATATATTATCAGTAACTGGGAATCAGAGATAAAATATAGGTTCTACATGTTGTGATGGAACAAATTTCCTCCATCAACTCAAAATATTCCGAAAATGTGAGTTCCATCCCAGGAGTATTCCAAAAATATCACCTCGTCAAACCCATGTGGGACTTGACGAACCTGGCTATGTATTGTATCGCCAACGAGGTCTTATTAGGCATCAGCCGCTGGCGCAGCAAATAGTAACATCCTCCTCTGAAGAATATGAAGACCAACACGAGGATGTTGTGCCAATAAACAATGTTGCCCATTCCCACCCAGTAAGCGCAAACATCCCTGGGATGTCACATCCATGTCTCTCGCTAGGTAACAATGTGAATCACAAGAGAACATCATTTTACAAGACATTCGAAAAATTGTTCACATTTCATTGGATTTGCGGCTTGAAATGTAGGTGAATTTGTGAGGTTCCCTAACAACCAAGAGACTCACTGGAATCTCACATTTTTGTTTATTCATGTAACAAACGGAATCGATAAATTTTGATGTTGAAAGAGAAGTCACTTTTATACGTACTGTGAGTTTCTTTTGGCATCATATAATGTGAATCATAAAATGACCAAAAGGGTCCCGAATAGCAGTCATTGTGATTTCAGTGGGACTCTCAATTCGAGTCACATTTGTGATGTGTGGCATGAATGTGATGCCCTCTTTTATCTCTGGGATCAATCTGTGTTAACTAGGCATCTCCTTCACAAAGTAGTTCAGATCGTTGTAGAGGCAGTACTCCTTTCTACGATAGTTTCTATATCGTAATTAATGAAGACGAGGAGGAAAATTCTCAAAAATCTGAAGAAATAAATGTAACACCATGTTTGACTCAGAACAAAGCATTTTCAGATTTTTGTTCATGGGCTTTTTTCTCGTGCCAATTACTATAGGTATAAGTATACCTATATAGTGAAACGAATTGTTTATTCTTGACATTTTGATTGACCATCGATCTCAATAAGTTCGTGATTTCAAACTCTCAGAATCCACACAAAGAAATACTGTTGTTAGGTGCATATTATTTATTTGATGTCTTTTGAAAGTATTAAGATCATTTCATCATAATTTCATTTCGGTTTCTGCAGAAATACTACAGGTAATTACTCATTCAAAATTGTTGCAAGAATGATGTACCTGTTTTAAACAACCCACATCATTTTGTTCTGACGATTCGTCACCATTCGATTGAAATTAACTTCACAATTTACATATCCAAAACCTAATAAAGCTCAATTTCACATCGCTAAATATGACAATCCTCATTATACCTTTTACAATTCACTACATCCCTCGAATGTTCATCTTTATACACAATCAACCTAGCTAGCATTAGGAAGATATATTATAAGTAACTGGGAATCAGAGATATAATATAGGTTCTACATGTTTTGATGAAACAATTGGAGTATTCCAAGAATATCACCTCGTCAAACCCATATGGGACTTGACGAACCTGCCTATGTACTGTATCGCCAACGAGGTCTTATTAGGCATCAGCCGCTGCCGCAACAAATAATAACTTCCTCCTCTGAACAACAAGAATATGAAGACCAACACGAGGATGTTGTGCCAATAAACAATGTTGCCCATTCCCATCTCTCTGACAAAGTAGTCCAGGTCGTTGTAGAGGCAGTACTCTTCGGTTTCGGGGCATTTCAGTTTCTCTCTGTCCTTCAGCATGGCGTGAATGAGAGCTTCCAGGGAGTAGCGCAGGTAGCTGAAGTACATGGCGATTTTGATGAGCGTGGGGATGGTGTCGTAGCCGGACCCGAAGCCATAGACTGCCAGCAGCATGAAAGGGACTGCAGCGACTGGTCCGACGAACATGGCGTTCTGAAAAGGAAACAAATGATAATATATCCCTGAGAACACAAAGCTATCGGATGGATAGGCAAACATAAAAATGCTGGATATTCATTGGATGGCTCTGAATGTCCAGCTCCTATCTAATGGCCATCCATTGTAAATCCATAGGACATATGTTCATTGGATGCCCATCCTTTACATCTACTGTACATGAACTGTATACCTATTGGACATGAATCATACAACTACTAGACATGAATAGGATCACTACTGGACATGAATTGGACTACTACTGGACATGAATTGGACAATATACACCTATTGTATAAATACTGTACATAAATTGTAGATTTCCTGTATAAGTTTTGGACAATATAAATGAAACACTTCCCCAATAATGGGTGACACAGAGTCATAATATACTCCTCTTTTCTCCTTCAGTTTTCTAGCTATATTTTCGAAATTTGAACATCAAATATGCTCGCTAGAGGGCACATTCTCACAATTTAGGATTTTTTCGTCTTCCGGTTTTCTTGGAAATGATATCAAATTTCGATTTTCAAATAGAACACCCCATATCTCATTTCATAAGTGGTTAGAGATTATTATAAGTTCGATTGGGTCATTTCAAACTCTCAGAATCTACGAAGAAATACTGTTGTTAGATGCTGTAGTTGTGCTGCTTATAGTTTGAAAAGTGTCAAACTATAAGCAGCACAACTTTCAAAGAAACATATTTTGCATTTACATGTTGAGAACGGGAGCAGAATCGGTCCCGAAACGTCCAAAGATAAGTAAAAATTCGATATTTTCTCATTATATCTATATTTCTTTCCTTCAAACATTTTTTCAAACAAATTGTCACTGACAAGCTACTAGATAATTCTTTTAGACTCTCTGATAGAAAAATTTGTTAAACGCAGTGACATTCAGGGGCAAATCAATTGATTTTTCCCTCTAAAAATATATTGAAATGATACGAATACTTTTATTTTATAGGAACGAGGAGAGAAAATTCCAAAGAATCAAAAGTAAAATGATACCAAGTTTGATTGGGTCATTTCGAACGATTAAGAAGATATTTGCGTTCGAAGTTTCCATATGAACAATGGGTGTGACGGCGCACTATCTAGCTGGAGACTACCCTACACTGATGAGAGTCAAGGAGCTCGAAACCGGTCTGTAGGTTGCTCTAACCTTGCTGAATCACAATTAATCGGCATTAGGGAAAGGAACACTTGCATTAGTATTCGTTCATAAGTATCGATGCATAGATTTCGGGAGGATGTAAGTCAATAGCCTGCGTGGCATTAGCCAGGAAAGTAGTTGTTTTCTCTCGTCATCTACCATTGTTGTTTATTTTATGAACATTTGTGGAAATGACTTTGCGCTTTTTTGTATTCATTTATTCATTTATGTATCAACAATTCAAATGAAATCGGAGGTAATTTCAATAATAACCATAACAAATATTTATACAGGGTGTATGAAAACTCAGTATAAAGGATTCAGGAACTCATTTTCCAGGTCAAAATAAAACTTTTTTTCTACAAGTAGGTATGTGTTCGCAAACGCTTCGTTACCGATATATACAGAGCGTTGAAATTTAAAGATTTTCTTATATTGCAAACACCTTTTTTCAGAAGTCAAGGTTTGTCCGGATTCTTATTCTCTAGGTTATGTTAAGAAACTGAGGATCTCAAACTAAATATGTGGCGTGTCTTGTTGTGATTGTGATAAAATAGGTTCCTTCCTTTTGTCAAAAACTAATGCAAGCAGTGTTTTTTGACAAAAGTTATACTGACGTCGTGTTCATTCATTCATTTTGGAAACTTGTACGTTCAGAAATTCCAAATCAACATCATTATTCCACACGACAAAAAATAAATTGAAATAATTTGGAGTTGAAATTAGGTACCCCTGCTTTCCTCCTGTTTTCTTTAACCTAGGATCAATTATTATTTTACAGTAGAAACCAAGAAGAATCCAAAGAATCATAGTCTGATTCGTGAATGGTCGTATTTTATTCATTCCATTGTTCTATTTATCACTGTGTTCGTTGTACTACTTACTAACTAGTTAATGTGGCTGACCATCTGTTATTTTTCGAAGCTATCCAGCTTCAATTCAAAGGTACCTAACAAATAAGCAATCTTATCGATTTAATGAATTCTGAGATGATATTTCTGATATATGTCTGAACATCGTTTGTGATAAATATCGATAAGTTCCCTTGATATTCATTATGAATTAATTGAATATTATGAAATATCCTATGAAATAACAATTCTATTGCTGACGCTCTACCAGAGCAAATAATTTATCGGAAACATATGCGCGATTTAATCATTAGAAGCAATAAAATTATATAATTTAGATTACCAGATTCATTATAACAACATTATATCAAATGACAAAGTGAGATTGCAACATTCAAAATTTTCGGACAGGTTATTGAAAAATTATAAAGTGTAACAGAAAATAATTGATCTACTAGCTGACAATGATTATAACACACGATCCATTCTCTTTATACACTATGAATAAGACGATAAGCTAAATACCATCAATCATAGAGAGACAGAAAATGTGTGTTTATTGTCCAAGATATGATCTGATTAACAAATACTTCAGATATTGATGGAATGTTGTTCAACTTCGATATGAGAATCAATAGGTACTGAAAGAAATCAGGTACAAAATCAATACAATAATAGTTGAATAATACTATAAAAATTAAGATTCAGAAGATTTTGAAGAAGACATTTGAAGTCTCAAGATTGAGTAGGTATTCCCTAGAACACGGGACTGAATTGTCATACCTACAAAAAGTTAAATGCAATTAGCTTTTGATAGATCACCAAATATGTGATCTTGTTTGTATATTTTGGTAACGCATGCTTATCTGAAGGGTTGATAACGAAAACTTCCATGCATATACTGATGGGTGTTATACACCTTCAATAATCGAAAAGGTTTGTCGACTCCAATGTATAACCTGCCAAACATGTATTCACTCACCACAATATTCAACAAGGAACCAATCATCAGCCCCAAGCTTTCCGATATGACACCCGTCATGATACAAACAACAAAAAACATCAACAGTCTCTCGATTTCCATTGGCTGACTAGTGAGGAAATATACGAGGAACACGTAGATTGATCCGAGTGTTAACTGTATGGGGATGGTAGACACTGTCAGGGCTGAAAAATAGGCGCTAAGTCTGTACCACTTATTGAAGTGCTCCCGCTTCACCAGCTGAATCTCCTTTGGAACTGAAATACAAAATTCATAATTGGTATGGATGAAAGGACCCCGCACATTTAGTACAGAAAATGGCTTTCGGTCAATTTTTCTGAAAATTTGATATGTTTCAGATAATAGCGTCCTTATTAAACAGTCAATCATTTGATTTTGGCTATTTAGAGTATTTTGCATCGATTTAAATTATGTGCTCTAAGTCGTGATAAATCTTTAGTAGAAATGAAGGCTACACGTCTAATTCCTACCTCATGAATCCCTCTATTCGAATAGATAATAATATCACATACAGGGTATTGCATTCCATCATGACAAGGTAATATTCATGGGAATAGACAAATATTGAAAATATCAGAATTTCGATTTTCACTCAATCACTGAAAACTTGAAAACAAACTGCTAGAATATGCCAATTTTTTGACACACTATGAACCTCAGTCATCAATATGAGGATTTATATGATTTCCTTTGATACAATGTCCGGTTTGCCATATATAGGGTGATGACAATTTAAAAGCTTAGAAATGATGTAACTCATGTACAAAATGATATACATATCACGAATGTTTCATAACTATTTATATAATATATGAAGTGGAAAATAAAATATCTCATGAAATACCCCCACAAACCCCCTGATATTTCCAGAAGATTTAGCCGAAAGCCATTTTCCGTACTAAATGTGCGGGGTCCTTTTTAAGGTAAATTGGGTCAGAGTGGATTTTTCTCAATTTTTGTGGTTCTATACAATATTCTCACTGAGACAACCCCCAAAAATGGACAGTTTATTTGCCAGGGGGATTTGAATACACATCTTGATCGAATGGACCATTTATTTCTAAGAAAATGAATGTGGGGGGATTATTACCCCTAAACCCTATTTTGAAAACCTAAAAAAAAAAGAATCCCATATAACTGTCAACAGTGATAGGAAATGTGTTATCACGGATACTTATGGAAACCGCATTTTTGCATTATCAGGCCCTATCAAATGATGGGTGCAAATGAAAAAAAATTTGGTAGATTCCGCTGTTTTGCGAATTGTTGAGATGTAGTCCATATGATTGTGATCAGAAAATCATCGGGTGACCATCCTAAAAAATTGATAGTCTTTCTGCTATAGGGGATTTCAATTTCCATTTTGAAAAAAATTGATAACTATTTGATTCTGAATAGAAATACTCTTTTAAATATTGTATTCCAATACCTTCCTCATTTTGCCTTTAGCAGTTTTGATGTGGATAATACTCACATTGCAGCAGAACTGGCATCATAGGAATATACATGAAGAAGATGAGGCAACAGAAATAGAATCCGAAATTAAATATCGTTTTCGAAGCATCTTGTCCCATATCCAGATAAATTGTTCCTACCATGGCTCCGACGACAATGTAAATGATCACCCGTAGTAGAAGATAACACTGAAAACGATGAAAAAACATAATGAACTTACGGGCAAATCATATTGTGTATAATTTCGATATTTATGGACTTCCAGGTTATTGAAAATTGATATTGGTGAGATGAATATGACATTGCTATTGTTGCAAAATGATTCAAGTGTATGGTTCATTTTGCTAGTTTGATATACAGAGAGTTGATTTTATCAACAAAGTTATTGATAAATTTGCTCAAGACTCTATGAGAATGCCATTTTTGTTTAAACAAGATTATGATTATCATCACGTGCAATTTTGTATTTGTATGTAATTTTGACTGTAAACAGAATACCTATGTGATGTCAATTCGATTGATATTCTTTTTTTGTATTCCATGTTTTATGTAGAATAATAGTAGATTATATATCGAGAGAGTAAAGTGCATGATTTTTCCAGAGGTGGTTTTGTAGCTAGAGGGTGCTACAATGCACTGAGGAAAGAAAGAACTCACTTCCGAGGTTTATATACCATTTTTGCACGACTCGACGATTTTAATTGAAAGAATCTTATGATAAAATCAATTATTGTCAATATCATAATGAAAATCTGAACACAATAATCACAAAATGAAGTTTTATTATCATGACTACTGATAAAGAAGAGTACCCATATTGCTTTTTGTGAACATCGAAAAAGTGTGGTAGCATATTTTCTTAATTGCTTTCCAAAGTTTTTTCAATAAATATTGAAGGAATTTGTGGAAAAACTATTGCTGCAAACATAGTTACATTGATTGCCAGAAAAATCCCGGAAATTGTTTTAGCCTAGAGAGTGCCTACTCTGTATACCCTATATTCCCGCTTTTGTCGGTGTGAAATCGCTTAATAGGTCGTGCAAATCGACAGTTTTTTTATATGTTCTTAATAATGTACATTATTTATTGTGACTTGCCCCTCCCTGATATTATTTCTGCGGACGCCCCTGGCTCTGTTTGCGATAATGAACTAGTTAATTGGGTTAATAAGATAGTGAAATATAATTTGATACTGAAATCATTCTGGAATAAATATATATCCATTCCTGACAACGGAATTGTTATCAACAATGGTTTTCTTACCTTGTCTCTCCACATTTGTAACCACATCCTCATTATCAATATGTGAAATTGCCTAATCCAGCTAGTCTGATATTCTATATTCTTTATTGTACTAGTTTCTACTGGCTTATCTTCCCTAATTGATGCTATACTAGAACCCAAATCCACTTCTTCATAAAAACTTTCAACTTTTGTTTTCTGGCTGTAAATATTTTTTCCATTATCTATCACAGACACCAAACGATCTTGATGATCTCCGTACTCATTACAGCAGAGTTCCATCACTGAAAACATAAAGAAAATGAAAATAAAAAGTATGAATCTCAGTATTTTTCTACTACATGGCCAAACTTTGGGATTATTTGCAAGGACTCATATTCTCCTTCGGTTCTTCGATCACAATAAGGATCAATCTTCGATAGAAGTCCATGGCATTTCATACTAAAAGATACACAAAGTCATGTCTACGACATTTAATGTGATTAACACATATACAGTGTCATTCATAAAGTTGGCATCGTAAGGGAAAAACTTTTAATACTGATTTATTTTGAAATTCGACTCGGGCGTTATGTTTTGCTTAAAAAAAATATGAAAAATGGCGTACTTGGTCGCAGTTACGTGACTTCCGCTACATGTCAAAAGTTACATTTTTTCAAATTAATCGCTGAAAATAGGCTTTATATGTTCGAATTTCAAAAAAATGTATTGAGAGAAGTTATTTCCATTCCAATTTTACTTAATGTATCTCGAATTTGAACGTTCTATCACAACTTTTAATTTTTTATATTTTTTCAATTTCTACGAAATATCTGTAATATTAACAAACATCAACACTATTTCATTCTAGAATCTAGATCATGATACTAACTTTCTAAAATAATAATCTTCGCTTCAAATTTCTGTTATGTTTGATGCAAAGTTGAATCGTCTAACATTCAGGAGCGAAATTTAGTTAAATTGATTTTGTTCAGTACTAAAATGATGCGAAAATCATCGTTCAAGATATCTTCAAACTACTTTACGTATCTAACCAAAGTTTAGGATGGTTTTGTCGAAGTTACAATTAGAAGAAATAAAAAAATATTAGCAATAGAATGTTCAAATTCGACACATATGTGTGAAATCGGAATAGAAACAACTGTCATCAGTAAAGTTTTTCGAAATTCGAACAAATAAGTGAATTTTCATCGATTGATTTGGAAATAATTAACTTTTGACATGTAGCAAAAATCACGTGACTACGACCGAGTAGGCCATTTTTCATCTTATTGAAAGCAAAATTCTACGACTAAGTCAAATTTCAAGATAGATTATTATTCAAAAGTTTTTCCCATATGATGCCAACTTTATGAATGACACTGTATATGTCCATCATCAGCCTTACATCAGGAATTACATAATTGTCCTGAAATTAAAGTAAGTTATTAGTCCAATCTACTCTTGTATACCAATTTTTGATGTGTTAATCACATTAAATGTCGTGGAGATGACTTTGTGTATCTTTTAGTATACAATAAAGATTTCCTTCCATGCGCTTCAAGAGATAAATAACATTGGGGCAATTATAATAGCCACAAAATGATATATGATACTTGAAAGTTACGAAACTTCCACTATAGATTCAGTGGGAGAATAAAACAATGCATCCAGTCCATCCTCAATTTTCCCCATGAACCAAAGATTTTGAACTGAGGAAGCCCATATACAGTGTGACCCACTTTTAATGGAAACACCCCTGTATCTCACGTAATCGTTGGGTAGGAATCCTGAAATTTGCTGGAGCGAGCAACATACCAAAAATGCACTGTATTACCAAGAAGGGTCATCTTATTCAGTGATATACACTGCTCGCCAACAGTCATGAAACCACCCCAATTTCCTGAAAATGATATTAGGAGTCAAAATATATTCGGAAATTCGGAATCAGGACGCCCAATTCAGTAACTATTAATATTTTTTCTGGAAAATTTTCAGTTCTGAAAAATTAAATTTTGTCGCACTTTTTACGGACGCATCCCCGTATCTTACGTAATTGACTTTATCTATGGACTTTCCCTTCCTTCTGCAAATTACAGAATCCTACCTCAATAATTACGTGAGATACGGGGGTGCTTCCATAAGAAGTGAGGCAAAATTCAATTTTTCTGAACTGAAAAATTTCTAGGAAAACTATGAATAGTTAGTGAATTGGGCGTCCTGATTCCGAATCCGAAGTGATTTTCAACCTATTTTGACTCCTAATATAATTTTCCGGAAATTGGGGTGGTTCCATGGCTGTTGGCGAGCAGTGTATATCACTGAAGATGACCCCACTTGGTCATAGAGTGCATTATTTTTGGTATATCTCTCGCTCCAACAAATTTCAGGATCCTTACCTCACCATTACGTAAGATACAGGGGTGTTTTCATTAGAAGTGGGTCACACTGTATGTAGATTATTGAATGTTTCATTTTTTTTCTCATATGTGTTGGAAATATAAATATTATGTAGTACACAAACATCCATGGCCTAGGTGGGAGTTCTGATACAAACGCCTTAATATACACCAAAATTGTCGCACAATCGTTCATAATACATCTGATGGTGGGATATTATGCGATTATCGTACCGCTCGGTTCACTATATGTTGTTATTTGATTACCTATACTATTATTGTTGAAATTATTTCATTAATTTTATTTCAACTTTAATGTGCTTGTCTTAATTTCCATTTGAATAGTTAATTGATGAATATTTCATAGTAATAATAATAATTATTGGTTCCATATCATTTATGTATTCCGATATCCTGTTATGTATAGGTAACTGAACGTATCATAGTTCAGTTCATCGCAATTACTTATCAGAACTAATATAGCTCATGACTGATGGTATATAAAAACATTCCAATGAATTGAATTATCAATTTTATAATAAATGTTGAAATTCTTTCTGGCTTTGTTCATGAAAACTGATTCACTGCCTACTTCCGACTGTATACTTGGTCATGGGCGCCGGCAGCAGGGTGCACTTGCACACCCTGAAGGAAAAGAAAATACACAGAAGAGATCGAGACTTTGTTTAATTACCTGATTAGCTACTGTTTGGATTGAAACCTAAAGGTTCTAAGTTGCTGATGTCCATCAACAGGGAAACAAACAAACCTCTCTAAGATAATATACGATGGACCAGTGTGGAATTCAACATGTGAATTAGACTACTTGTAGTGCGAGCACCACATGAATTTCAGACTGGTCCATCGGATATTACCTTTCGACCAGGGCAAAATATTCTCGGGAATATTGACGTTCTTCCACGAACTCAGATCAGTTTGATTCGCGGCATGTTTGTATATTCGCATTCCATATGGTGTTCATTCCTATGCCCGCTCTGATAATGTTACTTAACATAACCGTCTCGGGTATCATCGACGTCGTTCGGCTCCTTCGGTGACCACAGGTTGACAGGGTCAGCCGTGTCAGAGTAGTGATGCCGTCCGCCATTGTTATTGTTGTTAACGTTTTTGCATTGTCTGAGGCTACTGAGACTGATAATCTCATTCTCATTTTCAGATATATATGTATGTATAGCGTTCTGATGATTTTTGCATGTTCGAACTTGTATTGAGTGACATTATTGTAATAATATGTTCCTTAATATGTGTGTGAATGGCGTCGACACTCGCTTGTGTTTTATCGTTATGCCATTTCGGTCGAAGAATAAATAGATCACTTGAAGTGAAGAGCCATTCCAGGATGTGTTGATGAAGATATCGAAGAATTTTAACTAGTGAAACGGATCTGAAATTGAGTGCCTATTGTGTCAAGTCAACCAATAAGCTGAAATGATGAAGGGAGGTGTCAATGGAAACAACATATCATACACCAATCTGAAATAGAATATTATAGTACTTACCTAGTGTTCTTGAATATAATCACGTTTTGAAATAAATATAACAACCAGAAACATAGATTCTATTTATTGACCAGATCTTATTCCTATATAATATGAATGCATACATTTGAAACATCCGATAAAATTCACCATATGGATGTCCAAGACGGATACCATATGGATGTCCTTGACGTATACTATATATTTGTCCATGACGGATACCATATGGATAGCTCAAAAGTTGGAAACGCGATATCCTATGGATGTCCATACGTCATCCAGTGTACTCAAACTGGATGTTCTATGGATGTTCGAGATGTCCAGAGGAGGATGTCCAAAGGACGTCCATTGGATCGAATGTGTTATTAGGGTTATCACATGACAGAAGTACGTCCGGATTGATGGCAACAAATAATTAACGGTTTTTTTAACGACATCGATACTGAATCAGCAACTAGGATTTTTCGTTTATAATGTCGTTGGCAATGTATCGTTAACGTAACGATATGAGATTCTAACGTTAAGTTACTGATTAGACCCCCAAGCATACCATTAAATCCGCCTCTGAATGATATACAATATTGCTTTGGCCACCGTCTCAATTACTCATTTTCATCGATCGGGCACTAATAAAGGTACTGCTTGTTATTTCATTACTATTATTGTGAGAATGATTGCATCTAATTGTTTCCATTCTGAATGTGTTTTTCTCAATTTCCATTTAATTAGTTAATAGATGAATACTCACTTCATACCATCAATTAATGTTTTTATAATATTCATGTATTCCGATAACCTGATAAATGTAGGTACCTATAGAATGTATCATAGTTCAGTACATCGCAATTACTTATCAGAAATAATTCATTTCGTGACTGCTGAGATATAAAAACATTCCAATGAATTCAATTATCTATTTAGTAATAAAAGTTGAAATCCTTTGTCGCAGTTCATAAAGACTGATTCACTTCCTTCGACTGTAGCCTGGTAGACGCATTATCTGCTAACTGATAAATTGAATGATGAGGCACTAATAATAGCTCATTATATGCGAGTAAAATAATATATTTCATCCACGACTACTGTTGACTTTGATAAATGGATTTATTTCTAACAATTGTTTTATCATAGCTCATATTTTGAGATTGAGAAAACAAAAAATTAATTATTGTACTTCTTCAAGCAAAACGTTAGCTATTTTGTACACCAGTGAATAATAGCGGTGAGTAACCATTATTCACTGGTCTAGAGTTCCTAGACCAGTGAATTATGGTTATTCACTGCTATTATTCACTGGTATGAAAAATGGTCGGGGTTGAAACAGAATTTCGTCAAGGAACTCGCTTTCTGATGTTGAAATATCATCCTTGACTAACAACTTCTTCGTCACTTTTTTCCGCGGAGTGAAATACACAGAATGAAATTTCAAAGAAGCCTCGAAATCATGTGATGAAAAATTCTTCGTCAAAATTAGGAAATTTCAGATGGCGGATCCAATATAACGTGCGAAATTTCAATTATGACCTGATTCTTTTCAAAATTGGTATCTGGGGGTTTCTGGAGTCGGAGATTATTATTCTCTCGTCGAAATGTGGAAACTCAAGATGGCAAATCCAATATGGCAGACGAGTTTTGTAATTCTAATCCGATTCTATTGAAAACTGCGGTGTCTGGTGGTTTTTGGGGTCGGAAATTATGATTCCTTCGTCCAAATTAGTAAACTCAAGATGATGGATCCAATATGGCTGACTAGTTTTCTATTTATGATCCGTTTCTATTCAAAATTGGTATCTGGGGGTTTTCGGGGTCGGAGATTATGATTACTTCGTCATAATTGGGAAATTCAAGATCACAAATCCAATATATGGCAAACGAGTTTTGTAATTCTAATCCGATTCTATTCAAAACTGCGGTGTCTGGTGGTTTTTGGGGTCGGAAATTATGATTCCTTCGTCCAAATTGATAAACTCAAGATGGCGGATCCAATATGGCTGACTAGTTTTCTATTTATGATCCGTTTCTATTCAAAGTTGGTATCTGGGGGTTTTCGGGGTCAGAGATAATGATTATTTCGTCATAATTGGGAAATTCAAGATCACGGATCCAATATGGCGAACGAGTCGGGGTCGGATAATATTATGATTCCTTTGTCAAAATTAGAGAATTCAAGATGACAGATCCAATATGGCTGACGAGTTTTGTAATTTATGATCCAATTCTATTTAAAATTTGTATCTGGGGGATTAAGGGGCCGGAGGTTATGATTCTTTCGTCATAATCAGGAAATGATCCGAATCTATTCAAAATTAGTATATGTGAGTTTTCGGGGACATTTCTCAAGATGGCGGATCCAATATGACGAACGAACGAATAGTAGTTGGAATAACTAATGAAACACGTATTTATGAATAGCCAAACAAAAATGAAGGAAAAAAAGTGTGTTGATAAATAGGTATTAAACTATAACAATATTTTCTAGTTATAATGTATTACAAAACAACCTTTGCCAGATCATTGTCATTCTGGATTCTGGATGACAACCTAGTTAGGTAGTTAGTAGGCAGGAGCTATACCTCCTCGCACTAGGTCGCCTACTAGGTTTTCATTTAGATCGACAATGGCCAGATCATTCAATGATATTCGCAATGCCAATTCCATACATTTGGATAAGTTGCGTTTTTCGATAGAAATCAAAACAGTTCCATCTATCAGTGATCTAGTTGGTGATTTATGTCGGTGATCATAATACTCACCGAAATCCGCTGGATTGTAATGTTTTGGACATTCGATCCCTATCCCAGACAAATAAGGCACTACCTCCGGTCCGTAGCCTTGATAGACACATTGCCCCGAGGATATGATGTAAACGTTGTCGAACACGGAAAACAGCTTAGCACTAGGCGTGTGGATAGAACAGATGACTGTCCTACCACCCTCGGCAATTTTCTTCAGTAAAGCTATGCACTGGGAGCAGGATAAATCGTCTAGGCCCCTAAAAAGAACAAAAAAAAAACATCAGAAAGAAAAATTAACAACCGTCTAGCTAGGGTCCCTTGATCTGAATTGACGTATTTGTCATCTTAACAGGGTACGGACAGATCCTCGTCTTCCCCGACTCTAAAGTGTTTGTGAAACAGTTCCATCTTCATTTATTTCTGGGGATAAACACTAGATTTCTGAAATTTGTTGTTTTTTAGGTTATATTGAGGACATTGGCGTATCTTACGTGATTTCCACTTGTAATTTCTCATTCAACTCTACATATTATTTCCAAATGATGATGATAATTCTCGAGTTTTGATTTTTCAACTCCAGCATAATCTTTGTAAGGCAGGGAGCAAATTTTTCTGAAAGTTTAATACGTTTTACCAAATGGGACTGTTCTGGGGCAGTACCTATCAATAATTGAATTTTGATTTCCGAATAAGCCTTATGGTTGAGAAATGGTGAAACATTTTATGCACTAAGGTGCTCATATGTCATGATGTGTGCTCTATGTATTTATGTTGGAAAACATTTTTGCAGTTTTTCACGAACACTCATTTTTTTCTGAATGCAAGTATAATTTTTTAAATAGTAGGGCAGATGTCTCTTCTTTTAATCCTCTGTTTCAATCGAAACTGTTCCTACTAAAATGCATTCAAGGACTTGTGGAGTGGATAATTATAAGCCCAATGAGAAAGTATAATATATGATTTCGTATAAGTTTTACCTCGAATATTTTGCTGATGTATTCACCGATTTTCCCCATTCGGTCACTTCACTTTCCATGTTCTAAGTTCATTTGCATTTGATGGAAAGCTGACAAATTCAAATTTGCCATACAACTGATTGATACAGCCTAATTCAAAATATTTTACCATCCTTCCAAAACAGAATTGAATAATGTCGTATCAAGATCAAGTATAAAATTAAAATTTTGTGAGATCTCTTTGAACGCCAATGAATGTGACGTGACAGCAATGTCAGGTCAGGGACACCAATACACGAAACCAAAGTCACTAGATGATTAAAATAGAAAGGAGCTATGATCTGTCCGTACCCTGTTAAATGACAAATACGTCAGTTTGCATCAAGGGACCCTACGTCTAGCTAGACCAGCGAATCTTTCAAACCTGAAGGTTATCAGAAGATTATTCGTGTTTATAAGACTTATAAGGTAATATGAGGAAGAAAATAAATATCTCTTCTGCATGAAAAAGTAAAGTACTTTCAGCCGAACTTGTGCTAAATTAACCTTTTTCCTGAAAAGTACATTTTTGAAAAATTAATTGAGTGAACAAGATTTAAAAAAAAATTGGCACCCTGCAGGGATTGAACCCCAGTCACTACATTGGATGTCAGATACATAGAGCACTGAGCTATCGCTTCACTCGTAGTAGTTTCACAATATAAAGAAGGAAGAAATCATGTGTTGTGGGTGACGTCAGATAACCTCGACGTTTGAAGATTCGCTGATCTAGGATGATCATGTCGCTCAAAGTAGTCCAATCGATTTTCAAAGGAAATCATCCCATTCAACCACACTGGCATCTCTGGAAATGAAGCATCTCATCTCTGAGATCAATTTATTTATTCTGCGCAAAGCAGGACAATAAACGTGAAACAAAGGTTAGTGAGCAATGGACTGGACACTTCTACAACCAATATCACTTATACGTGTCTCGCTGGTTGCATGCAGTTGCATGTATTATGTTCTCAATTCCCATTCCTTTCGAATTATTTTGTAGTTTAGCAGGAATTGCAGATATTTCAATATAATGTTCGGAGTTCGTAGAAAAATCATAGTATGTAACGCGTTTATAAACTCTTCTAGACACTCGTTTATTACTAAACTAAACTATTCGTTACTAAAAGGACGTTTATAACACTTGTTACATAATATACTATTGAATCCGATGAAAATTCAAAACGTGGATGAGCTAGTGGCATACATTGATTTTCTTCATAAAAATCGATTAGGTAATCCACTGCGATGCCACTGGAATTATTAAAAAGCTCCATTTTACTCTTCTAATTGTTAGCACCCTTTTCAAATATCGCCAGGGTGTCATAATGAGAGAGTATATGAAACAAGTACATTAAACTATGAGTATGTATAACTGATTTTGGAAACTATCAAATATCTTTATAAATAAAGTTACATTAGTGGGATCTATGGTGGATCACCCTGTATATTCAGGTCAGAAAAAAGTTCTGTTCTGATAGTTTGAACTGGCTTTTCATTCAAATCACCCACAAAAAATAATATTATTGAATTCCGATGATTGATTATTTTTTTATAAATATCAACACTATCAAATAAAATTCCATTTCCTATGTAAACATGCTACAGATGATGATGGTTGCGATAAACCCGATTTGTTCGTGGTTGATTTACGATGGAAACGTATTTGCATCATGTGTGAATTTCGTGATACAAAATATCAACAAGTTTTATCTTTGGGAAGTGGAATATTCCTCGATGATTCCTTTGTAGTGGTCGGTGATGAAATATTCATAAAGAAATAATAGATGATCATAAACTCAGAGACTGATGTGACACTGTTAATTTCGATGTAAAAGTAAGAAAAAAGGAAATAATCAATTGAATAATGAAAGACAGTAAGTTCTCTCGCAGTGGTACCTACTATATAGTTTCAAAATATTGATTTTGTTGACTGATGGGTGATGGTTATTATCGGAGATTATTATTATAATGTTCATTATTCCAGATTTTTTTGGGATTTTTTCTCTTCTCTATAAAATAAAAATATGAATATTATTTCAATATACGTGTAGTGAGTACAAATCGGAAGATTTGCACCAAAATCTCACTGCATTCAAAGGAATTCGCCTATCACAGAGCCTAAAAGAAAAATCCACTAGCTTGTCAGTGACAATTTGTATTGAAAAAGGTTTGCAGAAGAGAAATGAATAGACACTGGCATTACTCAAGCATCATGGATATGGGCGACTTAAGAAGAGCCATATAAATAGTTTACACAAGAAAGATTTTTTGAAATGATAGGATTGAAAGAATTCCATGTCTTGAAGAAGGGAGTAACTCTCCAAGATTTGAAGTCTATTGAGCTCTCAGCCTTATTGTCTGGACTTCAGCAAATCAACGAAAGCAAGAATAGAAAAACTAAAATAATAAAAGGGTATTGATAAATACACAACAAAGAAACTATCAGCACCTCCGTAATCAGTACATTCTGCGTTGCGTACTTCGGTCCACTACAAAAGCGCGTTTTTTAGTGTTCCAAATTTTTTGTGAGTACCCAATTTCAACGAAAGAATCGGATCCTGATTACAAAAGTCATCCGCCATAGAATCATAATTTCCGACCCCAAAAACCCCCAGATACAGGTTTTGGAGAGAATCCGATGGTAATTACAAAACTGGTCAGCCATATTGGATCCGCCGTCTTGAATTAACCAATTCTGACGGTAGAATCATAATCTCCGACCTCGCAAACCTTCAGATATCAATTTTGAATTGAATCGGATCATAATTACAAAGCTCGTCCGCCATTTTGGAGCCGCCATTTAGTTTTTTTGCCTAACAAAAATTTCATGATGCATGATGGCAAGGAGTCGGTTACATACATACATACACACACACAACACAAGGGTGTTAAAGTAAAACCTTTTTCACTTCCATTCCAGACTTTTGATCACTTTTTTAGTTTGATCAAGTTTCTCTGGTGTATCAATATTAAAATTATATACAAGTTCTTGTATTTGTTAATAAAGCCTAGTGTTCGATAGAAAAGTATGCATTCGTTTTATATTTCTTTTCCACTGGACAGTTCTTTCATTATCTGACAATTTTAGATTTTGCCACTTAGGTAGATCACTTAGCTCGGCCACTCTTCAACTTTTAATCCCTGAGGGATTGAAAGTGCCACTTCAGTCCCTCGAAGGATTGGTTGAAATAAATGTACCTTTTATATTCTCTAAATCGTTGAAAAGTTTCAATAGCACATCGAACTTTTGCGATAGGATGATCTTGCAGCATTAATGGATTTTGTGGAACGAAAAGTCTCGCGAAAAGTCTCGCGAAAAGTCTCGCGAAAAGTATATCTCCGATTTTGTTTATGGACTGAATCTGGATTTTGGGTATAGATGTTAAGAATGTCTGTCATAAAATGAAACTATGAATGGAAATAAAAGTTGAGGACACTTAGAAAACAGAATTGTGTTCATATAAACATTGAAAATATAATCTTTACAGCCACCATACCAACATAAAAAAGTCTTGTTATCGAATTACAACATCATCTAATTCAAAATGTATACCATCTACTGGGTGTTTCTCAAGTGTTTGGAAAACTCGGAAGCATTACTATTTATTATACATTTTGTCACGTGGATTTGCTTGCTCGATTCAATAAGATCACACATATTCAGTTCTATGATCATCCAAGATGATTAATTCTAAACTTGGATCTCTCAACAATCTTCCTTCTTTATCCCTAACCTATTCTCCTCAGAAAAGTTGAGTAACTACGACCTCAGAAAATAGTTTGCTATGTTTGTATCACTACCAACCTAACCATGGAATATTATGAAGCAAGATAGATACGTAATGGAACATCAGGAGAAAAACTTGCTCACTCATTATTTCTGTGTATTCGGAATCAATTAAATATAATGATTGTACATTTTTTGTAATAATGGTTCCCTTCAATATTACCTCATGAACTGTTCACAATGAAATTAATTGATAGTGGGTCGATAACAGATAATTTTAATTGATAACTGCTTGTTCAATAGTAGGTATGTTAATTTCATCACTGTTCAGCATTTTGAAAAAACAGGAAACATTCTATTTCAGAAGAAATTCCGTTCCCGTTGATATTTTGGATCAGGAAATTGATTGAAGAGTTTCATTTGAGTATAATGCAATATATTGGACTCTCGATCGATTGGACTACTATACCAACTAATCAGGGTTATCAAAATAAATATTGATAACATAATTACGTACTAAATTGTACCATTATTG